ATATATTCTTATATACACATAGCCTCCACCCTGCTACCCCACTATCAATATGGCACCAGAGGGTACATTTCTTATAATGAATGAATCTCCACTGATACATTGTTATCACCCAAAATCCGTAGATCACATTAGGGTTCATCCTGGTGTTGTTCATTCTATAGGTTTGGACAAAAGTATTGTGACATGTATCCACCATTACAGTATCATACTGAGTAATTTTACTGCCCTAAAAATCCTCCAAGTCCCACCTATTCATTCCTTCTTCCCCACCCTCAACTCCTGACAAGCACTGATTTTTTTTTACTCTCGCCATAGTTTTACCTTTTCCAGAATGTCAGAGTTGGAATTATGCAGGTTGTAGCCTTTTCAGATTGGCTTCTTTTACTTAGTAACATGTATTTAATATTCTTTGGTGTCTTTTCACAGCTAGATAGCTCATTTCTTTTTATTTTATTTTTTTTAATAAAGATTTTATTTATTTATCTTTAGAGGGGAAGGGAAGGAGAGAGGGAGAGAAACATCAATGTATGGTTGCCTTTCGTGTGTCCCCTGCTGGGAACTGGCCTGCAGGGAACCTGCCTGCAACCCCAGTATGTGCCCTGTCTGGGAATCGAACCGCGATTGTCTGGTTCACAGGCCTGCGCTCAATCCACTGAGCTACACCAGCCAGGGCAGCTCATTTCTTTTTAGTGCTGAATGATATTTCATCATCCGATATCCCAAAGTTTATCTATTTACCTACTGAAGAACACTTTGGTGGCTTCTGAGTTTTGGTAGTTCCATGATCCATTGACATTTAATCCCTTCCAAGAGGCTGTACCACTTTGCTCTCACCCTCTGAGTGACTGCACCCCTTTGTAGGGCCGTGAATGCTACTGGGGACTTTCCCTAGGAGAGTGAATGGGGTTGTGTGCACAGTCTGTATGAAAAAGACCTGGTGGTTGTCTCCGCTTCTGGAAGCCTATGCCAGGCCCTGGCATGGGCCAAGGCCATTGCTTCAGGGGCCCTGTTTTCTTCCCTTGGGGTGGATGTCTGCTGGCTGGCCTTCCCACCCATCCTGCCCTGCCCACAGGTCTCCTTCCGCTATCATTGCCAGCTTTACTCTGAGTGGAGAAGGACCAACCAGAAAGTTCACCTGAAGATCCGGGACACAGACAGCTCCGAGGCTACCCAGCACTCCCTGCTGGCTGCTGGATTCCTGAAGAAGGTGGCGGAAGAGACGCCTGTGTGAAGGCTGGGTTGGCAGGGCCAGAGGCAGCTGATGATGCCCTGGAGTTTGGTAGGATGGAAACTGCCCAACCCTTCCTGCATGGCCAGAACGCTTCTTAGAGCAGGAGATGCCAAGTGGAGCTGGTTCTGTGATCCCGTGTGAAAATATTTTCAGATTGTCTTATACACTGTTGTATATGAGGAAGACAGGTAGAAGTGGTCCTGAGCTTCACACGGAGCAGGCACCCCAATCTCATTCTGAGGTCCACTTGGCCCCTTGAGGGCCAACAGCCATGACCACAGGCTAGTTGAAGGCGCCTGTGGGCAGGAGATTCTGAAAGCTTCTTGCACTTCTCTGCACCTGACAGGCTCGCTATCTGGGCACCCTTGACTTTATAAATTTGCACCAAGTTTCAAAACCCCAACTCGAATGAATAAAGGAGCCCTTACTGGATAAAATAGATTTGTCAATTATATTTCAGAACTGGAGACTCAAAGTGGGGGATGTGGGACCAAGGGGAGTCAGGGACTACACGGAGGTTAAAACATGCACTGGGCTGGTTTGAAAGGTCTGATGCAAAACACAGCAGAAGAAGCCAAGTCTGAGTTTTCAAGTGAGGAGCATGTAGCAGTTATATAATAATGATTTAAAATAAATACACGTAAGAACAGTTTCCACTTTACATCTATTGTGGGCCAGATGCCATGCTGAGCCCTTTACACTCATTAATAACTAATGTTCACACTTATCCAGGGCAACCCTGGAGGAGGCTCCATTCAGAACCTTCACAGGCTTCCTCCTACTCTCACTAGCATCCCTGGCAGGAGAAATGGATGTTACTTCCTCTTTACAGATGCAAAGACTGAGGCCCAGAGTAGGGAAGCCTCTATCTAAGGTCACACAGTTCTAAGAAGCAGAGTTGGGATTGATCATGGGTCTGTGTGGCCCCAGGGCTGAGCTTTGTGCTTCCCCCTCCAGGAAGACTCGGGGAAGAAGCAGGAGAGGGTCATGCTAATAATAGCAACCACTTCCTGAGCACTTTCTGAGCCTTTTACATTTGAGGGCTCTCTGTATTAGGCCACATTTAATACTCAGAGCAGCCCTGAAGTGTAGATGCTGGGGTTGTCTGATTAATTCCACTGGCAGGTGAGCAAAGGGGAGCTCAGAGCAATGGGTCACTCACCCAAAGTCATTCATTCCTTATGGACACAGTTCTATTGTTTTTCCCATGAATCCCTGTCTGGTTCTATGCCTTACCTAAGAGGAAGAAAACCCCTTTCTACTCACACTAGAAAGGCAAGGGGAGGCCAGCCTGGCCATAGAGTGGAGGGAACAGTAAAGAGCAAAGACCTGGAAACTGGAACCTGTGTGGCCTATAGGAGGAGCAGCACAACAGATGATGTTGCTGGGGCATCATGACTGAGGGGCAGGGCAGAGGGCTGGGAGAGACAGTTAGAAAGACAAGCTAGGCTTCGAAAGCCTCTGGCGGTCTGCAGAAGCACAGGGTTAGACTCTTTCTCACCTCTGCAGCTGCTTACTCTGCTAACGCCTAGCACCCACCTCTCCAGGCCATTTTTGGAGTGTGGTGCCCCTGAGGATGGTGCAAAGAGGCCCCAGGATATGCCATCATGAAGAGAGAAAGCTGTTTCCTTTGCAAAACTCTTCTAATGCTTTCAATTGTGTCCAGGAGAAAGTTGTAGGTTGGTGCTAGGGTGTCTATTAAAGACCCCTAACCCTAGCAAAGAGAGCAAGCTTTAGGCTCAGAGGCTTTGGCAGCATGCATGACTAAATTTATACTTTAGTAGCATATTCTCTTATTTATTTTTACATTAAGCTCTTTATAGCAAATTTACAACATAGGCTGTGATGTGAAAGCACAGCTTTTTATTGCATTTATTGGGGTGACATTGTATAGGTTTCAGCTGTATAATTCTACAATACATAATCTGTATATTGTGTTATATGTTCACCCAAAGTCAATTCGCCTTCCATCACCATTTATCCTGTCTTATACCATCTTCCACCTCCCCCAACACCCGTCTCCCTCTGGTAATCACTATACTGTTCTCTGGGCTTTCTTTCTCTCTCTCTTTCTTTAATCCTTTTACCTTTTGCACCCAATCTCCCAACCCCCATAAAGCACAATTCTAAAACATATGCTTTGGAAAAGAAACGGTGTCAATAAAAGGAAAGGGTGAAAGAAGATGGCAAAACCCAGAAATCTAGGCACTGTTAGGTGAAGTCACCAGCCTATAGGAGACCCCAGCCTGGAAGAGAGTTTGTCTCCTTAGCCAGTGCCTGGTTCGTTGCTAATCTGTCACACCCACTGAAGGAGAAAGGATTAAAGAGGTGAGAGGTAGCTTTTGTTGTCTCTGATGCTTTGCATTTGGATTCTTCTCCCTCATTCTTCTGACATACTGCTGTGGTCTTTTCCACAATCTCTGAGCACTGCCGGGCAAGGAAATTCAGAGGGTTGTAAGATTTCTTCTGCTCCAGGGCCTCCTTCAGTGTAGGAGAAATCTAAGGGAGAGGATGGTAAACTGAGATAGATCCAGCAGAGCCACGGGAGAGAGAAGGGTTGGTGTACACAGTGGTTTTCAGTAGAAATTTCAGGAAGGGACATGGGAGGAGGGAGTTGAAAATGGGTGGGAGAAAGGAATTCTGTGAAACACGTGAGTTTAGGAAGTATGTAGGAATGGAACTCGAAAGGGAAAGTGGGGCATAGCCTCCTGTTAGGCTGAGCCACCAGATGAATTCATTCTCTGGGACTGGAGTTCTCAACCTGGGTCAGAATCACCAGGCCTAACTAAGCAGCTGAAAGGATGTGGTAGGTGAGATATTTTCCTACGGCCTAATGGAACACAGTCATTTTTTGAGAGCAGTGGGAAAAAAAGAAAAACCCTAGAACCTCTTGACCTTTGTGAGCCTGGAGAGAGTTTGGTGGCTAGATGGGAACTTCTGCAAGATCAGTGAAGCATTTCAAGGTTCCAAAGAAACCAGAGAGATGGGGAGCTCCTGGGGAAGAAGGCTTGAACCTCTGAACCCTACCATAGGTTCTGACCTTTTCCCTGGGCTCTGCCCCAAGACAGCCTGTAACAGCCCTAAAAACATGTTTGGGGACTAGGACAAGCCCTCAGGGCAGAGGGACCCAGGGTTCAGCTGGAAGAAGCCCGAGTTAGAGTTAATGGGATCTCTTGGCCTGCAACTCATTTCTCCCAGTATAAGTGGCTTCTTACTTAACTCATTCACTCAAGAAACATCCATGAACATATACTGAGTCCCCAGCTTTGCGTTTGGCTGTTGGTTAATGAGTTCAGTGAAAAAGTCTTAGGCTATGAGCTCTGCACCCAGGACCTCCCAGCGAGGTGAGCAGACGACTGAACAGAGCCTGTTTATTCTTGATGCAGGATGATACTTGGAGACAGCATTTTGCACACCAGTCCTACAGCCTAGCCCTAGAAAACGCCTTTTTATTTTGGTAAACAAAACTTTCTCTGCCCTTCTGCTCCAGCTAATTAGAGAAAGCTGGAAGTGACTAGGTCTGAGTGGGGCCTGGGATGATGCCTCCCCTTATTAGACCTCAAGTGCGGGTGGATGATCCAGTTGGTGTCTGTAAATAGAATTCATTGCAGGAATGAATGAATAACAGCTGCCGCTCTGCGCCTGCGCGGAGAGGCCGAGGCCTGGGGCGGGGGCGTGGCGCAAGACTGGACCGGACTCGGCGGGAGCCGGTCGCTGCGCGCGCAGGCATTACTGGTCGCGCTGGGTCTCGTGATCGCGCAGGCGCAGCGCCGTGCAGCCCGCTCCCTCACACAAAGCCCAGACGCGGAGAAAATGGCGGCAGGGGTTGAAGCAGCGGCCGAGGTGGCGGCGACAGATCCCAAAATGGAGGGAGAAAGCGGTGCGCCCGGCGCGCCGAGCGGCAACGGGACTCCGGGGCCTAAAGGGTGAGAATTCACGTCTCCTTGTGCCGGACCGGCATTTTGCGGCGCCGGCGGCAGCTCCGTTATGTCTGTTGGCTGCTTCTCCCTGGCGCGGCCTCCGTCCAGGCCTTCCCCGAGGGGCCTGCCGTGGGTGTGGGCAGCCAAGGCCGTGAGGAATCCAGTTGAGCGGCCCCGGGAGCGCCTCAAAGACTGCTCTTTTGTTCTCCAAAAGAGAACTGTCCCGATTTCTCCAAGCCAGGTCCGACTCCGAGGCCTCAGGCCCGGCTTATGCGCGAGGGGATGATGGCGCGGGCCTTAGAGCCAGCGAGTCCCCAAGTTTACGGCCCGCTGATCTGTCGAGTGACCTTGTGCGCAGGGGTTTACATCTTCCCTTCAACACCACCTCCTTGCCTGTGATCTTTGTAGCCGGATCGGTACAGTGTGGGGGAGGGGAAGGAGCGCGCAGGACTTGGCACGCGGTCAGCCTGGATAAACGGTAGCGAAGGCGGGTAGGTATAGTCCGGAGTCTCGAGGACGGCTCCGGCCCTGTCCTCAACCCCTCCAGTCTCCGGCGCGTGCCCCACGCACTGGCTCAAGTTCTCCTTGCCTCTCACTTCCTCCCCCAGGTGTGCGGTAGGTATTTAGTGGAGCGATCGGGCCTTCTACTCCGTGTTCACCTTTAGAAACAAACAGTAAGAAAAAAGAGAGGAAACATTCTCTTCCGTGTTCTAGGGGAAGATTTTCCATCATTCATCTGGCCACCCACTGCCAAACTCCGTCATCTTTTCGAGTGTTGCTTGGGGCTCCGTTTCGAGTCCTTGGTTTTAAAAATTTCACTACAACATGATCTTGTGTCCCCGTGAAACCCACTCATTCTGATGGCAGTCACCTGACAGAAGGCGTTTTGGCACCGACCAGCACCTGTGGGGGGAGGCGAGGGGAAGGCTGGGCACACATTTGATTTCCCGTTAAGTTTTTTAAAAATTGGAGTAGCATATACATAATATAAATTTTACAGTTTTAACGATTTTAAGTGTACCATTCAGTTTCATTAAGTGCATTTAGTGTTGTGCAACCGTCACCACCATCCATGTTCAGAATTTTTTTGTCATCCCAAGCTTCAATATTAACCAATAACTTCCCATTCTCCCTATCCATCCAGCTTCTTGTTAAAGTCCTTGTAAACAGAATTATACATTCTGTTGCAAATTTGCTTTTCCCCAAATTTTTAATGTGCATAACTACAATTTGTGGGGATTAACAGTGAATGTAATTAAAGCACTTCATGAGCATTCACTAAATACAGCTAGGTTAACTTTCCTTAGGAAATCAAGAGTAAGGCATTCTGGAAATAGTATCGACACTTTATTGAAAACTGTGGAAAGGCATGTGCCCATTTTAGGTTTTTTTTAATCGTCTGTCTAGGGGAGCCTAGTTGGATTTCTGAGGGCTGTATTAGGAGGCCTTTAAGACATTTATATCATGTATTATCATTTTTTTCTTTCAGAGTGCTTAATCACAGAATGGAGAGCTGCTAGAATTGGGCTAGGTGAGAAGTTGAATTAGCTACAGAATATTTAGCATCTGAGATACCTTAAAAATTTACCATTTCCCACTGTTCATTTTCAAAGTTATTTTGTGACATTCATTTGTCAAGCATAACGTGGGTGTTAAAAATAAAATTTTATATTTAGTATAGATAACTGGAGAGGTATGTTTATGTCAACTCTGTTCTGCAACTAAGAAGAAAAAAATTTAAGATTTTTATTTTTTAGAGAGAGGGGAAGGGAAGGAGCAAGAGAAAGAAAGAAACATCAGTGTGTGTTTGCCTCTCACGTACCCCAAACTGGGGATCTGGTTCACAGGCCCATGCTCAATCCGCAGAACCACACCAGCCAGGGCAGAAATTTTTTTTAAAAGATTTTATTTTAGAGAGAGGGGAAAGGCAATAGAAAGGGAGAGAGGGAGAGAAACGTAACAATCTGTGGTTGCCTCTTGAGCGCCCCCTACCGGGCACATGGTCCGCAACCCAGGCATGTGCCCTGACTAGGTAAAAGGTGAAAGATTTTTACGTTCTGAAGAGAAACCAGAGTATCCCAACTGGAAATCAAACTGGCGACCCTTCCCATCGCAGTCTGGTGCTCAATCTACCAGCCACACCATCCAGGGCAGAAAAAATTTTTTTTCTAATAGTTGAGGAAACTCAGGATAAGGTTATTGACTCAAAAGAAGCTAGGGGAACTTCAGGCCCCTTACTGCTTTGCAATGAGTGCTTTTGTTGTTGTTTTTGAACTGTACTTCAAAAACTGTTGTTATACTTAAAAATAAGGTACATAAGATTCTGAGCTCAGAATTAGAATAGGGGCTCTTCATTGTTTGTATGCAGTGCAGCCAGTTCTTTTTCACTTTGCTCTGTGATTTTATTCATGGTTGTGTCAGAGTTAACAGTTTGCAAACATTAGGTTGCTTGTTTCTTTTCAGGGTTCTCAGGTGGGTTCTCTCATTACAGTGTTTTGCATTCATAGAACTGAAAGTTGAATTGCTCATTCAGTATATAATAAGTACATCTAGGTTTCCTGAGCCATTGCTCTGGTGAGCTTGTTTTTAAAGCCTAATCAGTATGTGCAGTGGTAGAAGGCTAGGAGTGAATCAGTTCCCTCCCTACTGCCCTCTAGAAAATTATTGGTAGGAAAATGTGTCATTGCCATAGTCACTGTGTGCCAAGTGTGTCTTTTAAACCTGTGTTGAGAGTAACCATTTACAGATGAAGGAATTGAGGCTTACCAAAGGTGCCTTTGGGATTTAGGCTTTGATGTGGGACCCTACTTCTTAGTCGCCTGTATTACTGCTCCCTGAAATGTGTTTAACATTTACCAAGCTGCTTTTTTGTTAAGACTGTTTGTTGATTCTTACAGCATCCTGTGAGCTGGGGTGGATACAGGTTATGCTGGTTTTGCTGGTAAAGAACTAGAGAGGAAAAGAACTTGAATTATATGGGTGTAAGTGGTGGACCTGGACTACCATAGTGCTGTGAACTGTGCTCTCCACCTCTTCATGCACTGGAGGAGCTTTGGATTGAAAACATTTCTGTGAAGAATCATTTTGCATAAGGGATGGTTCTCAAGAGTTAGGGGGGAATGGGGGAGTCTTTTTTTCTTAGGACAGGTATCAAACGCATTTTCACCTGGGGCACATCAGCCTTGCCGTTGCCTTCAGAAGGCCGAATGTAATTTCAACTCCTTAACATTTAAGAAGTAGTTACATTTATGCAGTCCTTAAATTGTTTCAGCCCTTTAAAGGCAACCATGAGGCTGATGTGGCCCCTGGTGAAAATGAGTTTGACACCCCTGCCTTAGGAGATATATTCAGGATTTGAGGGTATTGGGGTTGCCATTTCAGACTACATTCCTGATTGAAGAACTCTGCAAGTAAAATACTATACATGGGAATGCCATGGAGGCATAAGAGAGTAGGGATTCATTGTTTTAAGTAAGGAATGTAGCTGTCTTTTGCAGAGTAGGTACTTTATTTTTTTAGTGGTGATCTTTATAGTATATATAATTCTAGTGTTGTGAATCAGTGACATGATAAATTACTGATTTTCAAAGATGCAGTCAGTGAAACATGCAAAGCCATTAAATACAATGGCTTGGAAGGTACGGTACTTTTCAGATATTTTAGGCTTGTCTTTTTTGATATATTATAAAATAGGTTTCTAGAATTTCAGAAGAGGTTTTAGTTTAGAATTTATGTGGATGCCAGAATCAAATATAGTCAGAATCACTGGCAATTGGGAATTGAAAGCCAATTAGCAAGGAGAATACTGATTGGTAAGACATTAGGCTGGCCTAAGTAGATAACTTCCTGGCTAAGTAACTTCCATAGTAAGTTTCTTTGAGAGGTTACAGATTTGTTACTTTTAGTTACAAGTTAAGTTACTGGGGTTAGGTTTGGAATTTAATAACTAAGAGAAGAAACTTAAAAACCTGTTGTAATTGGCACAATGAACTGCATATAGTTTGGTAAAGTGTCAGTATATAAAACCCTCATTCTCCTGTGTGATCCTGTTAACCAGTGTTACTCCAATAAATTTTAATTAAATGAAACTCTCAATCAAGATACAGTAACGCCCTGAAGCTTTTTCTCACCCCTTCGAAATCCTCTGAGCCCCTCCTCCCACCTTCATCTTCCCTTTAAAGATAGGGATGACGATGCTACTGGCATCCTTAACAGATCAGGGAATGCTGTTAAACACCCTCTAGTGCACAGGGCAGGGTCCACCGCCCCCAACACAGGATCATTGGGCCTAAGATGTCAGTAGTGCTGAGGTTGAGAAACCCTGCTGTAGATTAGATTGCCAGAGTAGATTTTCTCAAATTTAGAGTTTTATATGATGAAATCATACTGTACTTGTTGTGTGTTTTTTTTTTAGTATACATATTTTAAGATTCATCCCTGTCGTGTGTAATGTATTACTTTTTGTTGAATAGTATTTCCATCTATCGATATACTGCAATTTGTTTATTCATTTACCCGTTAGTAGACATTTAGATTTCCATTTTGGGGATACTACAGATAATATTGTTACGAATATTCAGGAACAAGGTTTTGTATGGATGTGTGCTTTATTTTCTTTTGGGTAAATATCTGGCAGTGGATGATTGGGTCATACAGTATGTGTGTTTCACTTAACATGTTTAATATCTGTAATACCCGGAATCTGTGGTATTTGTCATTGTGTTCTATAGTATTCCGTCTATGAAAATGTACTTCTAAAGGCTTTCAGAGTTGAGTGTTGCATATATTTTAGGGCTAGAGAAGACTATTTGCCCAATTTTATCCTAAATATGGGCGAACATTGGATTGGACATTTTAAAAATGGACTTTTCATTACACCATTCTTAAACTGTCACATCATCTATATTTGCATATGTATCCTTAAGATTTTATTTACATATATTTAGAAAGAACAGAAGGGAGAGGAACATTGATTGGTTGCCTCTTGCCTACAACCCAGGCATGTGCCCTAACTGGGAATCAAACCAGCGACCTTTTGGTTCAAAGTCCTGCAGGCGGGTACTCAATCCACTGAGCCACACCAGCCAGGGCTGAATAAGTGTCTTGAGTGAGATTTCTCCCAATTTTGTCAAGGATAGAATCCATGGTAATCATTAGATTTAAGAAAAGGTCAATTTTGTGTTTAAAAACAAAAAAACAACAACCAACAAACCCTCACCCTAGGATGTGTTCGTTTATTGATTTTAGAGAGAGAGAAAGAAACATCGACTTTAGAAGGACATCAGTTGGTTGCCTCTTGTGTACCGCCCCCCCCCCCCAACCCTTTAGTGCATCTGGCCAGGGCAAGAAAAGGTCAATTTAAGAAGCTGGAAGAGACAGAGATAATTCTGACGCCTTTTACTTATGAGGAAATGATTGGCAAGCAAAGGATTTGGGTACAGCCGTGCTGTGCTCTCACCTTAAGCATGATCCATAAGAGCTGCTTTGTCAATCACATGATAAGGATTAACACCCAAGGAAATACACAGCAAGATACTGTCTAGATACTTTGTTTCCAGCTTTGGCTGTAATTAGTGATTTATATATTTTGTAAATAATAGGTGATCTGAGCAGTCTGTGAAAACACAGACTGGAACTATTACTGTCATGGACCCTGTATCACAATTTTTTTTAATATAAATCATGGAATACTTGGCTTTCAAAAGAAACTAGTTATATTAAATACATTTCTATCCACAGACCTTCAGTAGGTCCATGAAATGTAGATTACATGTACATTTTATGCATTTATACTAAGATTTTCCTCCTACTCTGCCAAGAGTAAGCAGTTGACAGAGATATGTTTGGCAGATTTTGATGCAGGATTTTTACATGGAGTAGACACGTTTCTTCTGAGATGGGTTGGTGGTTTGCAGCCAGCATGAAGTGGGTCCATTGTGAACTGGGGTGGACAGAGTAGAGTTCCAGGAATCTGAGGACTCGAGTGTCCATACCTCTCACATCCACTGGGTGGAAGTCTGTTGCATGTTGATGTATAGTTCAGATCACAAAGGAAGCTGCTTTGCTTAGTTCTGTCTGGGGTGATACCTTTATTATGTTTGGATGTGAGGGACCAGTAAAAAGGGGAAAACAACTTTTGAGACTGCAAAAAATGGCTAACTTTCTAATTTTTTCAAGAAAGTATATTAAAAGAAAGTCTTCCAGCTACCATCTGGTATTTGAACACTATTTCTTTGCCATATAAGAAGAATCCTGAAATAAAGACCAGCCTTCCAGTTAAATAAAAATAATTTTGTAAATCATCAGTACCATAGTCTTGGGTTTTTTCCCTCCCATTTGTGTCATGAATCACAAAGACAACCTGTGGTTTGGGAATTGTAGGATTCTCACAGAGGGAAAGAGTAGGGCTAGTGAAGCAGAAAGGTAGGTAGGACTCAGTGCCCTGAGAGGAACTTCCTGTGGCTGCCAGCTTCCCAGTTCCTGGTCAGCACTTACCAGGTGTCTGCCTGTGGTCAGGGGGCCTGAACTGAGCAGGCAGCTCAGGGAACAGCCCCATTTGACCAATGCATGGGTGCTGCCCTGACTGCACACACTGGCCTGTTGTCCCTGGGCTATGGCCTGTGTAGCCTGAAGTTCTATGCTTTGGAAGTCTGCCCTCTCCCCCCCCCCCCAAGTGTCTCAGTCTAGACTGAATTGGTATACATAGAGCTTAGAAATAAAATGTTGCTGCCTGGAGGCACCTAATATACCAAGGTAAAAAGTATTATAGGAGAGGCTATGCCAAAAAAGCATCTACCCTTCTTTGCTGAAGCTGGGATTGTTTGTGTGCTGTCTTATCAAGGTTTCTCAGACTTGTTTTCCTAGCCTCAAAGTAGGGTTGTATAGAGAATGGTTTCTTTACCTTAAATTTTTTTTTTATATTGTGGGACAGTGTATGTAAGAGTTGCCATTTTAACCATTTAAAGCGTACAGTTTAGTGGCATTAAGTGCAATGTTGTGTATTTTACCAAGAAACACTTTACATTTTGAGCTTTTGTCTTCCCATATAGAAACTCTGGCTTGTTTCACTTAACATGTTTTCAAAGTTCATCTGTTAACAGCATGTATCAGTACTTCATTCCTTTTTATGGTTGAATGTTCTATTGTATGTATATGTCATATATTGTTCATTCCACTTATCTGTTGGTGGACACTTGGGTGGTTTCCAGCATTTGGCTATCATGAATAATTGCTATTGGTGTATAAGTATCTGAGTCTTTGCTTTCATTTCTTTGGGATATATATCTAGGAGTGGAATTGCTGGGTCATGTAGTGAGTAACTGCCAGACTTCAATGTAGCAGCTGCATCATTTTACATTCCCACTTAAACCCCCCCCCCATTTTTTTTTTTTAATAGCAAAGGGTCCTTTTATTTGTGAGGCTAAAAATTGGTTGGGCCTATGTGTATTACCTCATTTTTGTTCCATCAAATCTTGTAAATCTTTCCTTTTCCTGTTTCTGTTTTGGAATTAAAGCACCTAAGGTGGAGTTGGCATCTCATTCCCCCCTATGTTATATACCCCATAAGAGTGTGTGAAGAACTAGGAGAACACACTTTTTTGGGGAACAGTTTCTTGATAGTTGAATTTAAGGAGCGAACTACTTCAGCTTTCTGCTCAATGGAACACTTTAGTTTGAATGTCTCATTAAAATCAATATTCATCTTGTGTTATATGTAACTTTGTGTGAAATTGTAAACCTGGCAAATACTGTGTTTCATATTGTGCTAACATATGGGCCCTTTTTCCTCTTTCAAATTAGTGAAGGAGAACGACCTACTCAGAATGAGAAGAGGAAGGAGAAAAACATAAAGAGAGGAGGCAATCGCTTTGAGCCCTATGCCAATCCAACAAAAAGATACAGAGCCTTCATTACAAACATACCTTTTGATGTGAAATGGCAGTCACTTAAAGACCTGGTTAAAGAAAAAGGTAATGGTACTGGTGGTTGAGTAGGGTAAGAAGGTTGGTGTGTCATCTTTTATGTGGCTAATTCCTTGGTTATTTTTTTGTCAGTGGAAGCTGTTCTGGGTAGAGCATGTGTTCTGTCCAGGCTTGAGAGTTACGTTCCCCTACCTCCCCCCCCTTTTTTTTTGTGGTCATGCACCTGTGTGTCAAACAGGGCAGTTTGATGGTCCCTCAGCCTATAAATGATTTTACTGGCTTAATATGGTTAATAGGGTTTCATTTAAGCTTGAGAGGAGCCTCTTTGTGTTAAGGGAATATTTTGAATATTTCATGTTAGATGGGAGAGGTTTTACCTTTTCTCTTACACTCTGCTTCTCTCCTTTTCTCTCTCTCCCTCCTCTGCCTCCTCTCCCTCCCTCCCTCCCTCCTCTCCCTCCCTCTCTCCCTCCTTCTCTCCCTCCCTCTCTCCCTCCTTCTCTCCCTCCTTCTCTCCCTCCTTCTCTCCCTCTTTCTCCCCCTCTTTCTCCCCCTCTTTCTCCCCCTCTTTCTCCCCTTCTCCCTCTCTCCCTCTCTCTCTATTCCCCCTCTCCCCCCTTCGCTGCCTCCCTCCCCCTCTCCCCCTTCCTCTCTCCCTCCCTCTTTTAGCTTTTAAATTCCTCTGGGAAGTTAGTTTGTTTAAATTTTGTGGATGTTTTTCCTGGGATCAAAATTTGGTAGTTGGAACTTGTGCTGTTCAGATTCTAAATTATAAAGCATTAGCTTGTGTTTAAATTGTTAGGCTGTTTTCCCCTGGGGAAAAACACTTAGATTGGCAATTGGAGAGCTCAGAATAAGGCATGTACTGTGTAATGCAGTGTCTTCAGGTGCACATTAGTCAAAGCCCAGGGCTTTCAAAACTTCCTGGCCTAGGGCCGGAAGCAATGGGAGCTCTGCTGCCACCAGGAGGTCTGAAGAGGTCGGTTGCCTCTGTGGTCCTCTGCTTTACCCCCTGCACACAACGTTTGGGTCCTTTTTCCAAATCCTTTCTTCTGTCTTCCTTTCTTTCCTGATTCTTGCCCCTGCTGGTGGCACTCAGGGCTAAAGAGATTGCTCAGCCCTGGTTTACAAAAGTGTTGCTAGAGCACAATTTGTCTAATGTCTCAAGGTCTCCCCTCACCCCCACTCCCAAAGGAAACTTAGACTCAAATTATTCTTAAATAGAGTCTTTGAAGGACTAAAAGGTACTGGTTTTTTGGAGCATTCACAATGAAAAGAGATTTGAGATCGATTTGTCAAATGATTAACATTTCAGTGATGGACAGAGATGCCACTTGGATAGGCCATTTTGGTATGTGTGCTGGTGCTCCCAGCATTGGGTTTTGAAAATATGAATGGTCCACTGCCATCATTGTCCCATCTCTTGATTCTACCATGACATGCCAGAAGCACTAGGCATCGTGAACCTCTCTGTACAGTTTATGTATGCTGCTCCCATGTAGTATTTCTCCAGATAACATGGATGGAAAATGTTTTGGTGTGAGTTTTGTTTTCCTGCCTTGATCAGCCAAATCATTCCTGCCAATGCTCCTAGGGCAAGAGTGAAGTTTCTTCTTTTTGTCTGAAGGGCGTGTCATGTGGCATCCCAGATTCAGTGTTCTTGGTTTTTGGGACTGCTGCTTCAATACAAGCTTAGAATTTCTGTACAGTAAAGTTGGGTTTCATTCGAATTAGTTTTTGGAATAACCTCCAAATTTGTGTTCTTGTGATTTGGTTGAACCACTGAATCGATACTTCCATTGATAATAAGGTATAGTAGTTCCAAGAACCAGGAATGTGGCCTTGAAAATGCAGCCTTTTGTAAGAGATTGCAGGCCAAATTATTTTTTCATTTTTAGGAGTGTGTGAACCAGTTTTGGGGCATGATGGATAAATTAGGTGACATTTTTACTGCTTTACCATTCAGTAATTCAGTTTTGGAAGCCTTAAAGCTGGTAGCAGCAGCCGCCGCTATGATGTTTCTGGATGTAGAAGCAGTTCACCTCAATTTCCTATTTTGAACTGTATTAAGTGTAGAGCCAGCCTGGTGGTTTATTCGGATACTTCCAAACTGGTTCTCATATTCCCATGGCATACTGCTACAAATGCCCTGGCTCAGCCCTTTCAGTGTATTTTTGGTGGTGTAATTTAGAATTACAGGTGTGCAGTAAATCAGTTATTTTAAATAAAATTTAAAATGTTCTTGCTTCCCTGTACAGGTTAAATTACTTTTCTGTTTAATTAAATTACTAACTGTTGGATTGTGGTTAAAGGGATTCATAAGAGAAAGGTAATCTTTTTAATGGCAATGCTTATATTCATTCAGTATGTGAAGTCTAAAAAAATGTACTATTTACATACATATGACTCCTTAAGAAATGTTTTTATTCTTTTTATTATGAGGTTTTCAAAATAGATTTTTATTCATGTCTTGGTATACCAAAAATAAGTTTAAATGGTTACTTGAAGTCTGAAATACTTAACTAGAAATCTGTTGTAAGTAACTTTTAAAGATTTTGAAGACTTGTTATTGCACAGGGGAAAAGAATTGTTGATAGAGGCACTTATATCCTAAAAGCATTCATCTCAAGATAATATCTAGAGTGCAGAAAGCAGAGATTTGGGCTGTCACAATCCAGACACTCTTTATCAGCCTGCATTTTTTAAAAAAAGAACTTTATTTATATATTTATCTTTAGAGGGGAAGGAAAGGAGAAAGGGAGAGAAATATCGATTATGGTTGCCTCTCATGAGTTGTCTGCAGCCTGCATTTTAAGAGTCTGTCCCTGAGAAAATCGTCCTGTTTCAGAAAACTAGTGGACTGAGAACTAGAATTGTTTGTCCTTATTAATTAATTAATTAATTGATTAATTAATTAATATAAAAGAGAGAGACATCCACTTATTATTCTACCCATTTATGCATTCATTGGCTGATTTCTTTTTTAAATTATTTTTTAAGAGATAGGGGAAGGGAGGAGAAAGTAGAAGTGGAAACATCTATGTGAAAGAGGAACATCCATCCATTGCCTCTGGTACATGTGCTCACAGGGACCGAACCCACAACTGGGAATCAAACCAGCGACCTTCTGTAGGACACCCAACCAGTTGATCCAGTCAGGGCTCATCAGTTTGTTGTATGTGCCCTAGTATAGGGGAGCAACCCTGCAATTTCATCATATCTAGACGATACTCTAATCAACTGTATTACCAGTCTAGGGCTCTACTTGTCCTCAGCTTAGAGATCTGAGTAATGTTATGTCATTGAAACACTGGCTAATCGTGTTAGCCAGTAATTGCATTTTCAGCATTAAGTTGATAACTCTGAGGTGGTAGAACGGGACAGGAACTTTTTTAAGGCTAATAAGTAACTTTTTTAATTAACAAAATTTTCATTAATCCTCACCTAAGGATATATTTTAGGGGAAACATTTTTTTAAGAGCAGAAGTAGGGGAGAGAGAAACACTGATTGGTTGCCTCCTGTACACACTCCAACCCAGAATTAAACTGGCAACTTTTTGGTGTACAGGATGGTGCTCCAACCTATTGAGCGCCCAGTCAGTTTAATCATTAATCATACCCTCAGGCACCATTCCCTAATTCCCCATTTTTCTCCTCCCTGGACACCAAATGTATTTTATAGTCTTTGTCTTTAATTTTATCATGTAACAGCATTCACATATGTGAACTGGTCACTTTTTGTCTGGCTTTTTCAAAATGCTGGATGGGATCACAAAGCTTGTTAGATGGCACTATCATGAAATCAACATTGCTGGGGGGGGTTTCAATCCTTTTCTGGGGGCTTTTTTTTATTGCTTTTAGAGAGCAGAGGGGTAGAGAGGGGCAGAAAGAAAGAGAGAAAGAGGAACATCGATTAGTTGCTTCCCATGTGTACCAGGACCAAGTATTGAACCCACAACCTAGGTACGTGCTTTGATTGGGAATTGAACCCACAGCCTTTGGTTACAGGATTATGCTCCAACTGAGCCACACCAGCCACAGCTCAACATTGCTGTTTTTTTTTTTAAGAGAAAATAATATAGTCAGAGCTTTGTTGTGTTCTGAGTCAGCCTGCTTTTTAGCTCACCCCATAATACCAGTTAGAGACATGAATTAAAGAGCTTCATAGCCTTTAAAATTGAATGCCCTCTTTCCTGGAGCTTTCCCCTTCTCATTCTCTGTGTCCCAATGGGACAAGGGAAAGGTTTCTGTTCTTTCTTTTGACTGCTTAATTTTTACGAAGATACCACATGGAAAAAAGTGGCAGCTTTGAAGACTAAATTGTTACTGAGTTGAAAAAATTTAAGAGGCAGTATAATACGAAATTTGGAAATTACCAAACCAAGTTTGAGTGACTTAAGTCTTACCGCTACTTAATTTTCATCACTTGACAGCTATTGGGATACACATCTTAAAAGTTTTTGTCTATAAGGATTGGGCAAAAAAGTAAGATTTCTGTGAGCAAAAGGTAATCTTGGGTATTTTAAACTTAAATCGTATTGTGCTATATTCCTGGGAAGTCCTGTGTGGATGAAGAAAGCTTGGGTGTGAGGCTGCTTGTCTCTTGGCCTAGCCCGGGAGCCCACAACACTGAGGCAGGATGAGCTTACAGCAGCAGCTAGTAAGCATGGAGCATATTGTGGGGAAGAAAGGGAGGTCAGTGATATAATTTACCTTCAATCCATCCCAAGTTTAGTAGCAATTAGTTTTTCTTTTGGAAGAAAATGTTTCTTTAAGCACATAAGCCTTCTCTTTTTATTTAATGCATCACTTTAGGGCAGGTAAATTTCAAATTCCCACTGATTGAAAGAAACCAAGGCCCAGAGAGCATGTGTAGTGCAGTAGAAGGCCCTTTTGAGATAATCTTCATGGCGGGTCTATGGAACAAAACTTATTTTCAGTTTCAGAAAAATCTCTACCCAGTCTATTTGGCTCCTTCAGGTTTTCCTTTGTTGGAAATCCAGCCTGCATTTTTGAAAGGCCTATTAACTTGGGTTAAAAATCTCAACGGTGCAGCCTCCCTGGCTTCCTTGGTGGCCTTTGGTCTAGTTAGAGAGGTAGTGCCCTTCTGCTGTCACCTGAGTCAGGCCATAGATTAAGTAATCACTGTGTGGAATGATTATTTTGCCATGTATGCATTAAAGAAACGAGCCATAATATAAACAAGTTATATATAAAAACAAGGTATACATATGCTTGTATATATTAAACAAGCTTTCCAAATTTAAATATGCATTTTTTTTCTATGCACCTCATTTACAGTGGCTACCTTGTTATGAGGTGAGAACACTTGATAACATGCCCTGTTTTTGTGCCAGCACCTCCCCCACCCCTTTAAATTATAGACCTTTTCACATGTGAATTCTCTTCAGTGACTTGGGCCTCTCTATTCTCCCCCTTTTTTTTGTCCATTTGAGACTTGAAAAGTAAATGAGAACACAAAAACAAATACTCTATACTCTTTGTGGTAAAAATATATGCAGAAGTGTTAAATCAGAGTGGTTCCAAGGACTGCCTGGATTTTAGAGGGGGGTCGCTCATCTACTTAACCTTCTGGTGCCTTTTATTCTTGAGGATATGTGTATATATTCTCAAGAAAATACATATTTTAAATATATATATTTAAAATTTATGTATAAAACTTTTGTTTGTGTCACTTTAAATTTTTTTCCCTTGTGGCAGTGTTTTTAATAATCTGCCTAAATGTTGCTTAAAAAATTATTTCTTGGAGCATTTAAAAATAAAGGTAGGTGATAACATTTGTCATTATTAGGCTTTTCAGGGTCTTAGTTTTTTTCCTTGTAGACATTCCGATGTTTAAGCTGCAACAGAATTTGTCTCAGGAAACTCCTCTTGGGATTCCATCCATGTTTAGGGGGGAGAGAGGGACAACAGTAATTTTCATTCGTACCTGAGAATGCCAGTTCTGTGACACTTGCTACTGCCAGTTTGTGAACTCTGCCTCTCAGTCCTCACTGTGCTCTGCTCTGGTTGGTCGGCTCATTTAAACTTCATTTCATTGAGTATGACCAGATCGATAACTGTCTTCAAAGTTTTGTTGATAGTCGTATTGACTACTAAACAGGTCTTGCTTTATTTAATATTTAGAACTAAAAGAGAAGTAGTCTTTTACAGGCTTTCTCATTATTTTCCTATAGGGAAGTATGAATCATCAGTCGTTGTAGATCCTATGACATGAATTTGCTCACATCTCTGAATGGATGAGGTCTCCCAGGGTAGAGGTCAGGATTTAGGAGGACATGGTTGCTTACTACTGATGATCCTTGGGAACAGGACTACCCATGGTAGAGCCACAGTGACTGCCTCACTTATGGCCAACCTGAGAAGGAAGGGAAGGGTTAGTTTAATGTAAGTTTTGTTTTTACTAAACTATACCATTTGGGGGGAAAGGAGAGGGAACGTTTTAAGCAAATTTTTGCTTCAGAGGATTAAGGTTGGATGTGTGCCACTACTAGAATGTTAAGTGTGAAAAGTCCTGATTTCTAAACCTGGCTTTTATTAAAATGGTTATGACTATGGAAAAAAATTTGGTTGGGACTTGCTTGGTTCCTAGGTTGCCATGCCATCTTTTTGATAAAGTGTCTTTATGGGCACAGTCTAGAAACTGTCCAAGTGCAATAGCATTTGAATTTTGACAATAGTTAACAGCTGTCCTCGAGTTAGATACTGCGGTTCTTTTCTTTATTAAGGTTATTAGGCAGTAGTCACAGTCACAGGTCATAGGAGATAAAGTTGGGTTCTCTCTTCATTGGCATTTTTATTCAAGTGGAGACAAGGGCTGTTAGTCCTCACATGGCTGCTGTTGTTGAAGTAAATGGCTCTTAACATGGCTTCAGGAAAGGCCACAACTTTTTGGAATTGCTTTGCTTTTGTATGGGTAAATAAAGCCCATTTGTGTGTCTGTCCCTTGTCTGTGATTATTTTTCAGTTTACCCCTCAGGAGTGTGTCCTCCATGTTAAACTTACCAATTCCTATTTCCTTTCTTCATCTCTCTGCTGATTCTTCTTCCTTTTGTGTGTAAAGTGCTGGTTTGGTTCACATTGCAGGAAAGGGCAAGGAACGCAAGGCTGTATGTAGACTTAAACTTTGAACACTTGGCCTTCTTGCTTTCAACTGCCATGTAAATATATTACTAATGAATACGCCTTTCAAATTGTTAATTTTATTTAAAAGTAATTTTATTTTACATTTAAATATCTTCTTGCAGTATTAATTTTTAAATCCTATAATTTTATTTTATTATTTATAAGATTTTAATTTTTTATTTTTAGAGGGGAAGGGAGAAAGAGAGGGGGAGAAACATCACTGTGTGGTTGCCTCTTGAGTGCCCTGCACCAGGCAACCTGGCCCGCAACCCAGGCATGTGCCCTGACTGGGAATCAGATCAGCGACCCTTTGGTTCGTAGGCTGGCGCTCAGTCCACTAAACCACGCCAGCCAGGGCTTAAAATCCTATAACTTTAATATCCTTAGAACAAAAGAGTTAAAATAGGTAGGACTTGTTGAGCCCATCCATTAAGGAGGGTTATTTTTACCCTTGTACTGCTAAATCAAACTGGGTTAGAGAAGACTTTACCACCACAAATAATCCTTTAAAATAAGAAGGGTATTTCTGAGAACAACAGCTCTTTCTTGGCTTAGGAGATGCTGTATAGAGATTGTTTTTTCCAAGTTAAGGCTTTAAATTTGTTTTGTGTTTGCTGTCTTCTAAGTTCAGCAGCCATTTTAATGGTTGACTTGATGGGTTTTAACACCTACCTGGTCATGGTGGTCATGAATGGGCAATCCAAACCTTGAGGAAAATCTGCAGACTCTTGAAATGCTGTTTTTTCCCCTTTGTGTAGATTAGAATCAAGTGAGTCTGTTTAATTGTTTAGATCCAAACTGAGCTGTAGATTTTGCATTTATCCTTGTCTTTTAATGGAGACTTTGAGAAAGCAACAGGAATAATAGGTCTGGCTTAATTCACTGCAGAGAATCCAGATGCTGCTTTTGTTTTGTGATTGGATATTCAAACATCACTACTTCTGACAGTTGCCGGGCCTGGTGCTGTGTGCAGGACCAGCTATAGAATTTGTCCGGTGTAGTGCAAAATGAAAATGTGGACCCCTTGTTTAAAAATTAGGAATTTCAAGACCACAACAACAGCATTAAACCAAGCACGTGGCCCTCCTGAGCGCAGGTCCCTATGGTGTTATACAGGTTGCCCACCCATGTAGCCCACAACACTGTGTGTATGCCTTTTAGCATATATACGTCCCTGATTTAGCATTTGAGCTAAGCTTAGTGGCATTGTAGTTTGTGTGCCCTTTACCTGCTTTCACCAGTAAGAGTGTATGTGTAGAATTTTTCCTCCCTTCTCCCAAAAAGGGAATTACGCAGACTTCTTTCCTATAGATTTGGATTGCCTTTAGTCATGAATGAGAGTCCAGACAGAGAAATTGATATGGAAATCTGTGGAAATTGTTTGTTTGTGGTGGGAGGAACATCAAGGACATATTGTTAATGAGTTTCACCTATCTTTACTGCACACCTGTAATGCCTAGTTCTGTGGTTTAGAGAATATGGAGTGTTTCTGGGCTTTCTTATAAGGCAGAGGCTCCATACAAGGTTGCTGATGATTGTTCTAAATTCCCATTGTTTTCTTGGCTTTTCTCCCTTGGTTTATGTGTCGTCTGGAAACTGATTTGTAGTTGGTGAGGTAACATACGTGGAGCTCTTAATGGACGCTGAAGGAAAGTCAAGGGTAAGTGTCTGAGAGAATTTCTTCTGTGGATTTACTACATGAAAAATGTAACTGTATGGTGGCGTGGAATCGAATGAAATCAGGAAGGCAGTGAGCACTCATGTTATAGTAGCCATGTTTGATTTTGCCAAACATTGGAGTGGGGTGGGAAGGGCTTTGCAAAAGGAGTCCCGCTTTTCCAAATGGCTGGCCAAAGAGCTTTTTGGTATTCTGTTTGGATGCCCAATTTTGATTACTGGGGACCAATCGTAGCATTGTCTCTTTGTTAACAGAGGAATTGGCTGTGTGTGAATTATGCATGGAATTTTAGTGGTGGTATATTAATGTAAAACGTGTGTTCTTGTCTAGAAAATGTTATTCGTGGTTGTTTGCTGAATTTGAAAGTTGTGTGAACCAAAGATTACAAAAAGTTGCCTCTGTGCCAGTAAATTGTAAAACAAATATTTAAAACCTGAACGTTTAAAATTGGCCTAGTTTAAAGAGAAAATAAACTATTTTTTGTCGTGGAATAGAATGGTTTAGAATAATTAAAAGGATGAGCTCAATTTATGGAAGGGATGGATTTAGGAGGAGTATGATAAGGACTTGATTGAATACAGAGAGAAATATCTAAAGTTTGTGTGAGGTTTTTTTTTGTTTTGTTTTTTTGGAGAACCTGAATTTAGGTCTGCTTATTATAACTTTAGCACCTGTAGTGCAATGCTTGTAATGTGCAGGAAAAGGAGATAATGAGGAGCCCAGCTTTTAATAAGGAAGGCTAGGCAAGACACTTCTTCAGCTTCCTTTTAGAAGGGTCGATTTAAAAAAAAAAAAAACCCTAACTTTGTTACATACATCATTTTTATAACTGTCATTGTTATTTACTGGTTTTTTTTTTTTCTGTTCTTTTTTCCCCCTTTCCTTGCTCTTCTGATTGGTCTGTGGCCTCTTCCAAAGGGATGTGCGTAAGTATTGTCTAGTTACTTATTAGCAATTGAACCGTGAGTTACAGAACTGGTTTCACTCATTTCCTTTCAACTCTTCATAGCGTTGTTGAATTCAAGATGGAAGAGAGCATGAAAAAGGCTGCTGAAGTTCTAAACAAGCATAGTCTGAGTGGAAGACCACTGAAAGTCAAAGAAGTAAGCTCTTGAAACACTGGATATTGTTTGTAATTACTGAGTTGTCCTATTTGGAAATAGGAAAAGATTAAAATAGTTCTGGACTATGTTTTAAGGAATGTGTTTAAAGAAGAGGGTCAGTTGTAGGCTTCAGCAGTCACTCCTATAAAAAGTTTGAGTTTGTGGCTAAGTGTGTTTTCTCAGGCACTCAAGCCGAACCTATGGTTTTCTGTTGTTTTTAAAGGGTTCTATACCTACAGTTTTACCCAGTTTGACCCCCCTGTTCTTGGCCCATCTTTTTTGTTTTGTTTTTGTTTCTTTTTTTTAAAAAAATTCTTGCTGTTAACCTATTTTTTAAAAGTATTTCACTTGTTTATTTTTAGAGGGGAAGGGAAGGAGAAAAAGGGAGAGGAACACCGATCAGCTTCCTTTTGCATGTCCCGAACTGGGGTCCTGGCCTCCAACCTAGGCATGTACCATGACCTGACTGGGAATTGAACCAGTGAACTTTCAGTTTGTGGGACAATGCCTAACCCATTGAGCTACACCAGTCAGGGCTCTTTTTTTTATATATATATATTTTTTATTTATCTTTAGAAGGGAAGGGAAGGAGAGAAGGAGAGAAATACTAATGTAAGGTTGCCTCTTGTGTGTCCTCTGCTGGGAACTAGCCTGCAACCCAGGCATGTGCCCTGACTGGGCAATGAACCGTGGTTGCTTGGTTCCCAGGCCCGCGCTCAATCCACTGAGCTACGCCAGCCAGGGCTCTTTTTTTTTTTTTTTTTTTTTTGTCTCTTTAAAATTGAGTTTATTGTGACCAAAATGTTTCATATCTAATCCAAATCAAATCCCTTTTCTCCTTCAAGGAAGAGAGGGGTTTTGTTTTTGTTTTTGTTGTTGTCACTTCTGGACTTATTTTTACCTGTTTTTCTCTGAGGAAGGTCAGTGTATTCAGACGTCAGGGAGGAAAGTGTTGTAGGGTTTGTTCTCTTGTGTGTTGAATGTGTGATACATGAAAGGGCAGGGATTTCAATGGTGTAAATACCAGAGCTTCACAAACCTGTCCAGACTTTATACAGGAGTCAGACGCCTGAATAACGTGAAGGATGGAGTACCTTGGTGATCTCGAACTGTTTTCAGACCTTTGGAAAAATCACTGATGGGGTTTGCAGGAATTACAAAACCCCATGGAATTAGTAAGATTCAACTATACCAAGCCTGTGAAGATCTTATTTAAATCTGGAAGTGCTATATTAAGTCAACTAATTATGTCAGAACTCCCACTACACCACACCTCCTTTTATTTTATTTTTTACTTAATTCATTTGAGAGCTAAGTTTTACACCATTTCTTTCTTGTTCCTTTAGCTGGGATCTTTCTGGCCTGGTGGTTTAGTTAATTTGAGTTTCTTGTTTTAGATTTTGAGAAATGCTTTTCAAACAACCTCTCAATTTCTGAAATTTTGGGCATATCACTTACTGTGCACGCATGGTTTTAGTTGTCACTGGGTCAGTAACACTTTTTTGCTCGTTTTAGGATCCTGATGGTGAACATGCCAGGAGAGCAATGCAAAAGGTGATGGCTACGACTGGTGGGATGGGTATGGGACCAGGTGGCCCAGGAATGATTAATATCCCACCCAGTATCCTAAATAATCCTAACATCCCAAATGAGATTATCCATGCATTACAGGCTGGAAGACTTGGAAGCACAGTATTTGTAGCAAATGTAAGTAAACGAAACAGTGTTTGAAGTAGAAAAAAAATCAGAACTTTATGAAATAATCTTGTCAGTGTGTTAGAAAAGTAGATTTGATATTTGAGAAGAAAAACTTTAGACGGTTATGTTATCTTCTTGATCTATTTTTTAAAATCAACTTTGGAGTTGTATTTGTTTCCTAATGACCATTGCAGTCATAAGTCACAGGTTTGACTGTGGTCCCATGGGTCTGTGTCTACTGTGTTTTGCTAGTATTTCTAAAAGTGGCGCCTGAGTCTGCGCGTTCTTGGGTTTATTTCGGTGCAGCATAAAAAAGTTTCCGAGTGGAGATTATACACTGACGTTTTTCTCTTGTGTCTGGGGTAAATGATAATGCCTTTCATTGCAAAGTGAAATATTTTTAAAAGAAAGTGGGTACGGGAGAGTGATGATAAACTCTAGGGAACAATTTTTTATTTTTAATATTCAGATATAAGCATTATGAATATGCAGTGACTAAAAACAGCTTAAGTGGAAGTTAAGGCCAGCTTTATAATCCTACTTGAAAAATCCCACTGAAGTCCATAAGTTTTTGTGACATGTTTTTCTAATGCTTGTTCCCACCAAAGCATGTTGCATGCATGTAATTAAAATTGTTTTTCTTAAGACATTTACTTTGCAAATTTCATTCCCCTTCTCATGATTAGCTGGATTATAAAGTTGGCTGGAAGAAACTGAAGGAAGTTTTTAGTATGGCCGGTGTGGTGGTCCGGGCAGACATTCTTGAAGATAAAGATGGAAAAAGTCGTGGAATAGGCACTGTTACTTTTGAACAGTCCATTGAAGCTGTGCAAGCTATATGTATCCTTTTACTGGAATTTAACTCTTGGTGAATGTTTCTGTAATTGTATTAGTAATACAGGTTTGTGTGTGGAAGTGGTAACTTTATGTACCACTATTTCCTGAGTGACTAGAGGAATGCATTTCTGTGGAGTTTGAAAGTTCTCTGGGATGGAATTGTTTTAGCCTTGTTTAGATAGAAGAAGGGCTGAGAAAGTAGGCAGATTCCCATGAGTGCTCTTTTTCTGTGATTTTTTTTCAAGGAGTCTGGTTTGAAGGGGGAAGTCCAAATCATATGCTGCTGGAGAGAAATTTAATTATTTCATATGTAAGCCTTTGCAGGGCCCTGTCTTCTTAGTGGATTGACATCATTCTAGAAGCAGCACTTACTTGTTATCCTATGCCATAGTGGAGAATCCCACTATGAGGAACACAGTCACTAAATTCAGGCAAAACATACTGAATGTTTGCCCAGAAAACATGAAAAATGTTAGGATACCTGGCCCACTGGATACATACAGAAAACTGATGCCAGTGCTTAAGAGGATGGCTTGGCAAAAAGTATAAGGCTGTATGAATGAAGCCCTGTACCTAAACTGTAAGGTGAAGTTTACTTCTTTTTTCCCCCTTTGAGCTTTATTTTCCTTTTATGCTGACTTGAGAACTAAACACAAATACTTGAAATGTAGTGAGAAATAAGAACTGCTGGTAAATTCATTGTTTAGAGGGACTGGTACCAATTGAATTGTTTTTCTCATTTCTCTCTTGCTATACATGTTCTTAGAATTGTAAGAAATAGCCTTAATTGTAATACCAGCTATGTTTAATGGCCAACTGCTATTTGATAGACCAATGCACGTGAAAATGGTAAGTTAATGGGCTCTTTCTCCATAATATACTCAAATAAGTCTAGCAGAAATGAATTATTTGGAGTACGCACATAGCCATTATTTATGGATCAGTCTAAGAGTGATTTTCAGCCAGTGGGCCATAAGACTACTTAAAACAAGCAATACCTAACTATAATTAAATTTATTAGGGTGACACTGGTTAATAAAATTATAGATTTCAGGTGTATAATTCTGTATTAAATTATCTGATACCCGATTATTTAGTCAGGGATAGTGACCTCTTTTCGCATAGTTTGTCAAACTAAATAAACTGAGAAAGCACCCTGACCCATGTGATTCCATTGGTCAGGCATTGCCCTGCAAAGCAAAAGGTCACCAGTTCAATGCCTGGGTTGTGGGTTGGGTTCCCTGGTAGGGGTGTGTATGGGGAGAAGCTACAGATCTATTTGATCTCTCTCCCTCTCTTTCTCCCTTCCCCTTTCTCTAAAAATAAAGGAGTAAAGTATTTTTTTTAATGGCAACAGCCAACATAGTAATAGCCAAGTGGTGTGAATGAATCAAAATTATACCTATTTTTTTGTCAGATTGGCAAAAAATAGTTTTTGGTGTGCCACACAATTGTAGTAATCAGTTTACATAGGTGCCATGAAATGAAAAACGGTTGAAAATTGCTGGTCTGAGTTTAGGGTATGGCTGTGGTGAGCACATTTATGACAGCTCAGGTACCTCTAACTTCAGATATATTTTTCTCCGCACAGTTGGCTGATTAACATGGTTAGGAGGTCAATTGAGTATCCTACTTAAGCAAGTGATCAATTTCAAAAGAATAGTTGTATATCTGGGTTTCCAATTTTCAGTATGTTTAGTTAGCATCATACCTGTTTTGAACCTTATTAAGTCTTTGGTGTAGACAGCCTTTAAAGTTCTCTTGAAGTGCTTCAATATAAACATTGTCCCTGTGGCTGTGCCAGAAATAACAGTTAATACAAGCATGACTGGAACATGGTGAGGGCAATGTAGTTAGCACTGACATTCAGGAGGGAACTACAAAGGAACATTCAATGATCCATACAAAGGATCATTACATCCTGGCTGGTGTGGCTCAGTGGACTGAGTGCTGGCCTGAGAACCAAAGGGTTGCCAGTTCAATTTCCCAGGTAGGACATCATGCCTGGGCTTTGGGCCAGGTTCCCTCGTGTGGTGTGTATGAGAGGCAAGCACATATTGATATTTCTCTCCCTTTCTTCATTCTCCTCTGTCTAAAAGTAAATAAATAAAAAGAAAGCCAATTTGCAAAAAAATAAATGGATAGATAAATTGCTTCATGTCATTTAAAGTCCAAAAGTATGAAAAAGATAGTGAGAGAGTCTTGCTTTTGCTTCATACCCAGGTCCTATCTATCCCCCACAGTATATACATGAGTGTATATTTTCATCTTTCCTGCTTTATACAAAAGCTTCTAAGAAATCACCCCCATTTCTTTTGATACTAGCATGGTTTTCCTTGGTGAGGGGGTATCATAGTTTTTCAAACCAGTCTTATGTTGATGGGTATCATTTTCGCCTTTTGCTGTTGCAAACAGTCTTCTCTTTCTTTTTTAGGATGAGAGGGCCTTACCAAAGGGAGATTTTTTCCCTCCTGAGCGTCCACAACAACTTCCCCGTAAGTGTCTCAATTATTGTGGCTGAGATTTAGAATTTGAGTTATACTAACCAGAAAACTGCAATTACTCTTGAAACTGCGCCATGTTATTCTGTAGTATGCTTGACGATTTTTTAAGTATTTTTATTGATTATGCTAGTACAGTTTTTCTCCTTCTGTCCCCCCTCTGCCCTGCCCCCCAACCCTCCAGCATTCCCCCCCACCTTGGTTCATGTCCATGGGTTGTACATATAATAAGTTCTTTGAGTCCTCTGTTTTTTATACCATTTTTTAGCTCTCCCCATCTATTTTATGCCTACTAATTATGCTGCTTCTTCCCTGTACCTTTTTTCCTATTCCTCCCTTTCCCTTCCCCACCGAACTCCCTCTGTGTGATGTCCATTTCTCTGATTCTGTTCCTGTTCTGGCTGTTTGCTTAGTTTTTGTTTTTGTTTTTCTTTTCTTTTAGGTTCATTTTTTGATAGTCATGAGTTTGTTGTCATTTTATTCATATTTTTGATCTTCTCTTTCTTAGATAAGTCTCTTTAACAGTTCATCTAATAAGGGTTTGGTGATAATGAGCTCCTTTAATTGACCTCCTTATCTGGGAAGCAATTTATCTGCTCTTGCATTCTAAATGATAGCTTTGCTGGATAGAGTAATCTTGGATGTAGTTCCTTGCCTTTCAGGACTTCAAATACTTCTTTCCAGCTCCCTCTTGCCTGCAAGGTTTCTTTTGAGAAATCAGCTGACAGTCTTATGGGAACACCTTTGTAGATAACTGTCTCCCTTTCTCTTGCTGCTTTTAGGATTCTTTCCTTATCTTTAATCATGGGCAATGTAATTATGATGTGCCTTGGTGTGTGCATCCTTGGGTCCAACTTCTTTGGAACTCTTTGAGCTTCCTGGACTTTCTGGAAGTCTATTTCCTTCTCCAGATTGGGGAAGTTTTCCTTCATCATTTGTTCAAGTAAGTTTTCCATTTCTTGCTGCTGTTCTTCTCCTGGCACCCATATAATTGGGATATTGGAACGTTTCAGGTTGTCCCAGAGAATCTTCAGTCTCTCTTCATTTTTTTGGATTCTTGTTTCTTCATTCTGATCCAGTTGGATGTTTTTTTCTTTTTCTTTTTTTTTTTTTTTTTGTTCCAAATTGTTGCTTTGAATCCTGGTTTCCTTCTGGTCACTGTTGGTTCTCTGAATATTTTGCTTTATTTCATTTTGAGTATCTTTCATTTGTTCTTTCATTTTTTGACCAAGCTCAATCAGATCTGTGAACATTTTGATTACCAGGGCTTTAAATTCTCCATCAGATAGGTTGGCTATCTCCTTGCTTAGTTCTGTTTCTGAGGTTTTGCTGTGTTCTTTGATTTGGGCCATATTTTATCTTAGAGCTGATAGTTTATAAGGGAGTGGGGTCTTAGGTATTCACCCCAGCAGGGCAAATCTCCTTGCTGCTCTGCTCCCCTTCCTGTGGGGGAGGGGCCAGAGAGGGACCAGTGCAACTCGCCTGCCTGTGTCTAGCACACTTTCCAATAGACTATCTCCCACCATAGCCTACTGAGCCATAGCCCATGTCAGCTCTGAGTCTCAGTTTTTCCCTTCAGTCAGTCCCTCCCGTGCAGCTCTGCGCAGCTCTGCCAGCTCTGCAAGTCAGCCACCTCACTGTGGTTTTCAGAGTTGGCCCGTGCAGTCTACCTTACCATTCTGGTTGTTCTGGTTGACTTTTTCTTTAATTTCTTGGTTGTCAAGAGTTCCATGCAATTTGATTTTCTGGCACTTTTGGTTGGTTGTTGATTTTAGATTGGTTGTTATACTCCTTTTGGTTGTGCAAGGAAGTGAAGGGTTTCTACCCAAGCCTTAATCTTGGCCAGAACTGTGTCTTCCTTGTTTTGACATGCTTGACCATTCTTGAGGGAAAAATTCAAGAGGTTTTTGTGGTTTTGTTTTTTTTTTTACATAAATTTTTCTCAGGGTGAAAAATGAGCAGATTTACAATTTAGCAAGGATTGTTAGGATTACTTTGTGGTGAGGCAGGCTGGCTGTCCAGGATATAGAGGATGTAGTTGGGCATTTCGAAAAGTGTCTTGGTGGGGGCCCTGGCTGGTGTTGCTCAGTGGATTTGAGCGCAGGTCTGCAAGCCAGAGGATCGCAGTTCGATTCCCAGTCAGGGCACATGCCTGGGTTGCAGGCCAGTTCCCAGCAGGGGATGCACTAGAGGCAACCATACATTGATGTTTCTCTCCCTCTCTCCTTCCCTTCTAAAGATAAATAAAATCTTTTTTTTTTTTTTAAGTGTCTTAATGGGAATGAGGAACCCAAAACTGCAAAGGGAATTCAAGCTATGCTGCACTTGGGTTCAGAAAGACTTGTTATCACCATATAGCCTAGCAATTCCACTCCTAAGTACACTCTTTAAGAGATCTAAAAACTCACTTCCACACAGAAGCTCATACATGGAAGTTGATAGCATGATTTCAGCTGATGAGTGGATAAGTACAATGTGGTAAACCTACACAATGAAGCATTACTCAGCCATAAAAAGGAATGAAGTGCTGATACATATTACAGCATGGATGAGACTTGATTCCATCTATAGGAAACATCTAGAACAGGTGAATCTGTAGGCAGAAAGTGTATTAATGGTTGCCCAGGGCTGGGGAGAGGAGTTAGTGGAGAGTGACTGATAATGGGAATGGGTTTTCTTTTGGGGGTGATGAAAATGTGTAGAATTAGATGGTGGTGGTAATTTCATAACTTGGGGATATACTAAAAATCACTGAGCTTACACTTCAAATCAGTGAATCTTATGGTATGTGAAGTGCAGCAATCAAAATTTTTATATAGGGTTATTTGTAACATCCAGGTGAAAACCTGTGCTGCGACTGGGAAGGCTAGTTGGTAGGTCTTCACAGAGATGGAAAGGGCGCACATTAATTAAAGCCCTAGCCACTCCATCTGGAAAGCCAACAGGTGAGCTGAGCTCGTGCACACACCACCGTGGGAATGAGACTCCGTTGTAGCATGAAGGTTGGGCAATTATCAGTGCAGGCCAGGCTAGCATGTGGGAGGAAGATGGTGGGAAGGATAGGGGATAGGTGGGGGTAGGATCTGCTTGTGCTGTGTTAGGGCAGACTTCCCACTAGGTAAAGCTCTGGGGCAAGGCTGTTGTCATCGCGTCCAGTCTGGGAGCAATGCGTTAAGTTTGGGACCCTCAGAGACTAGAATGCTAGCTCTTGAGTGCCTTTGCAGTTTAGGATAGAAGCATAATAGAGGTAGGTGTTGATGGGAGGTTGATGTCTTTAAGAATAGCAGGTGGCTTATCTGTTGAAAGTTAACAATTGTTTGTTGAAGGGCTACATTTTTTTTTGGTTATAATCAGTGTGATCACTTGTAGTGATTATCCAGGTTTAGGGTGATGGCTCTTGTTGACCTTCAGGAGCTGGGTGCTGCTTGGCAACTATGGCAGGCATTCACTGGGCCCCAGGGAGACCATTATCTGTGGCTTTTGGTTGCTGAGCACATTTCAGACGGTAGTCTTGAAAGGTGCTTTGGGGAGTAAGTAACTTAGGTGATTTCTTGCTGCTGTTTCTGTGCAGTTTAAAAATGGGCATTAATCAGATTAAATACCCATACTCTGGGTTTTTTTATTGACTTTATCGAGGTGACATCAGTTAATAAAATTAAACAGGTCTCAGGTGTACAATTCTAATACATCATCTGTATATTGACTATGTGTTCACTGCAAATCAAGTCTCCTTCCATCATCCTTTAACACCCCCATACCCTTTTCTGTCTCCCCCCACCTCCCTTTGTAATGAACTTTTTTTTTCCATTTAAAAACCACTTGCCTGGTCTTGGTTTAGGCCTCAGACTAGAGCTTTGCAAATGTCTTACAGTATCTCAGGCCTTGGTGGCTATTTTGAGGCCAGTCTGTATTCTTGGGTCCCTGTTTGTGGAGTATGAAGTTGAGGGTGGGCTTCTGTAAATCCACTAACTTCATTATTATTTAGGTATCTGTCCGTGAGTTAAGAAGTTTTCTGGGTAGAGGATGGGTTCTGTAAATCCACTAACTTCATTGTTATTAAAACCATTGTTATTAAAACCACCTGCATCAGAGTCAGAGCATACAGTATGCCTAGTGGCTAATTGGCTGGCTTATAACACTGATCTTTCATAGGAGAAGTACTTCGGCTACCAGGCTGGGAAGTGGAGGTGGGCATATTTGTGGGAGTTATTCGTAATTCTCTGTAACTTGCAAGTGAACTTTTAGTTGCCCTTGTATATACATACAATAAAGTCTTAATCTGTAACTGCATATAAAAGGTTATGCCTTGAGCCCAGGCTATGAAGCAACGGGTTGCTGGTTCGATTCCTAGTGGGGGCACATGCCTGGATTGTGGGCCAGGTCCCCAGTGGGGGGGGCGTATGGGAGGCAACCACACATTGATGTTTCTCTCCTTTCTCCCTCATCCCCTCTCTCCAAAAATAGATAAAATCTTAAAAAAAAAAAAAAGGTTATGCCTTGAAAAGAACTCCTAAATTATACCAGTGTTGAGTTCGGTGTGTGGGAGTGGAACATGGTGACTGTGGCTCTTTGCCTTTGAGGGTCATGGTTTATTCTAAGTTAGTGGAATCTACACTTCTGACTTTCTGTTTTCCTTTCAGATGGACTTGGTGGTATTGGAATGGGGTTAGGACCAGGAGGGCAGCCTATTGATGCCAATCACCTGAATAAAGGCATTGGCATGGGAAACATAGGACCTGCAGGTGAGAATTACAGTGTTGCCTTGATTGAGGATTTGTGGGGAAGTTAAAAGTTACTACATAGTTAAAATTATTAATTATTGGGATAATTGGACATTGAGTAATTCAAAAGGAATAAAGATTTAATTGGGACAAAATTCCCTCATCTCTGATTCATTTTTGATAAAGGCAGTGTTTTGTATTTTTTTTCTGAGTTCAAGTTTCTTTCTAAAGCCATCGTACTGTAGCATTTTATCCTTGCCTGACCTGAGCAGAGATAGTTAAGCCATTTGATTAAAGGAGGCAAGCCAGAGAGTTGCTCAAGGTCACACTCTCAGTTAGTGACAGAGACTGTAGGTCTCCAGCCATGGGACCACAGCACTGCTGTAGTCTATTACCCAGACTTCCTTGGGCTCAGGCTTTGGTGTTGACATAGCTTTTAGAGGTAGGGGCATTGATGGATGCAAAAAACATCCATTGTGGGGGCTCACTCATGGTGAAGGGCTCATTGCATGACAGCATAGCTGTTGGAGGCCACTGGGCATGTGATGCACAGTGGTGTTCAAGAAGATAAGAAATAGCTAATGAATGAAAGCTTGGAAATGCAGAATAAACATTAAACTTTGCTGTTTAGCATTTGCATTTCTCTGCAATGAGGCATTTATATACTATTAAGAGAGACTTTATTTTTATAACTTCAGGCTTAGATCTTTCTTGAAATCCTTTGAATTGCAAGGTGGGGGCCCATCTACCCTGCTACTGTCAGTTCTATATATTGCTTGTATTCCTGTCAGCTTAAACTCTGGAGCTGATCCCAGTGGCCTGGGCCATCATCTCAGATGGCTCTGCTACTCTCAGCCAGCACACCCTCCTGCCTAGCATCTAAGAGGAAGGCTGGGGTTGGGGGAGGAAGCCTTGGTGTTTTTACAACTGCTTTTTACTTAGGGAATTTTAGCTTTCACAGGGATTTTAAATTGACTTCTTCTTAAAATAAGCTTCTAGTGAATGTTCCCTAGTCTGTACTTGATCATTATATTTCATGTTAAAAAACTGTCTGCCTTGGTCATTTAATTAAACTATGTGGACCCTACAGAATTTTGAGTCATAAAGTGATTATTCTGTTAAAGGCTTGAATAGTTTTCCTGGAATGTGATTGACAGTCAAGATGGTAGGGCTGTACCCCTCTTTTCTTGACAATTAAAATATATTAGTAATCAGGGATATTTTATACATCTGCTGCTTTAGAATTTCTTGTGTTTTTTAAATTCAAAATGTTACTGCTTTGACATAATTTTAGTTTGCATTGACTTTTTCTTTTTAAGGAATGGGAATGGAAGGCATAGGATTTGGAATAAATAAAATGGGAGGTAAGAAATTTAAAATGAAGTACAAATGTAATTGTTTTTAGGTATGGTTGTCTCTCTTTTCCTCCCTCTTTCTTTTCTCTGAAGCTCTGCATGAAATTCTCACTTTGGTTTCCAAAAAATTTTAGTCTTGAAATTACTTTCACCTGTTGATCCTTCCAGTTGAATATCTTGGCTTTTGGGTCTGGCTTTATCACTTACTGGCTCTGTGACCTTGGGCAAATCACTTCATCTCTCTGGGCCTCTTTTGTCTGCCTATTCCTGGAGGGGGTGGATCAGACCAGATCGACTTTTTGAGGGCAGTAGCATCCCCTCCCCCAAACCCCCAAACTTTGGTAAGTAAGTTTCTGGCAGAAAATAGAAATGCCCAAGATGAAACTTGTGAGAACAGTTTTCTATTCCTGATCAGTGTAAGGAGTCTCAGGGGTGGTTCTGAAATGCAAATTCTCTTTCAGGCATGGAGGGGCCCTTTGGTGGTGGTATGGAAAACATGGGTCGATTTGGATCTGGGATGAACATGGGCAGAATAAACGGTAAGACAAGTGTTACCTTCCTGCTTGCTCTTACCTTGTGCTGGCTGTTGGCTCTTAGGTGACCTTTAGGCAGCAGACCCATTTTAAATAAATGATTCTCCTCTTCCAATTTTTACTGAATCAAATGTCTTAAAATTGCCTTAAATATCAGTAAAATTGTAAGTTTGTATTTCAGAAGTTAGACTTAATGGTAGGTGAATGTTTATTCTCTTAGTCACTAAACTACTAAGATGTTGTGTTCTGAATCTTCCTAGTAATTGTCCAATAAAATTTTAAAGCTTTCTTATTGCCTGTTAACATTAGGAAACATTGTATAGACACATGTGTTTATGTTTTGCATACTTTAACATGGTCTCCAAGTGTAAGGGATTAGTTTCTTTAACCATTTTGATATTTATGTCTACCCTGGAGTGCTGGATTGATGGGTTCTTGATCATCTACTCTGATGACTCTTGTGAGCCGAGGCATTAATTTCTATGTAATGCAAATTTTTGTGTATTATCATTTAAATCTTACTGCCCTTTCAACCTCTTAACAAAAATATAATGATAATATTAATTATAAAAACTGTGTTTTCATTTAATCCTTACAAGAACCACATGATGTGTAGGTACTGTTATCCCCATTTCATCAGAAACTGAGGCCCATAGTGACTTGCCTAAGGTCACATGGCTTATAATATTGGGATATTGACCCGGGCTATCTGGCTCCAGAGTCTGGCTCTTAATATGCTTTGTTCCTGCCTTTTAGAATTGCCACTAGCACTGGCATCAGCCCCCCTCACCAGCAGAGCTGTTGAGTGTGCCCTGAGAAACCTGTAGTCCATCTTTCTAAAATCCTCTGGGTGTGGTGGACTCTGGCCCCACCTGTCGGAACACTGCTTACTTTATATACATAACATCTTTGGAATGGGAAGTCATTAAAGAGTTGGGGTTAAACCTTTCTTTGCTGGTCTGTAGTAATGGATAATGTGGAGATAGTATAGAGCAATCATATCTTAATAGGATGGACATTAACTGTCAGTTGGAAAAAGATATTCTTGATGAATAAACTGTTCTTCATGAGGTACCTTATTCTAAATGATGGGGAAAAGGTGTGGGAAGGTTTTCATTATGACTTAGGAATGAAGGGACAAAGGTCTGTGTGGCCATTGTGCTCTCAGGGTTGTCTGTGGCTTATGTGCTCATTGGATTTTTTATAAAAATGAGAGCTGGAGAAGTCTGGCTTGATAAAGTATTTACTCAGAACAGATGAGTCATTAGAAATGGGATTTGGGTTGTTACTTCGAGTAGACAGATGTGATGTAGCAGTAGATGGAAATAGGATGGGAGCTGTGCCGAGCCATGTGGACAAAGTCCTGGTGACCTGGCAACTGAAATGAAGAAGTTACAGTCTGGGCCTGGTGACTGAAGATTTAAAGGGCTCGTTCTCGTGGAGAGTCACAGTGGAGGATGTGTGTTAGGTTGTGTTCTGAGATGTTCTGAGTTACTGATTGGGCAGGATCAACTCTAGAGCCCTTGAGTGCTGTCTGAGTCCAAGGAATTTTTTTTTTTAATTTGAGAGAGGATAGGGCCGGGGGACGCGTTTGTTTGTTCCACTTATTGAGGCATTCATTGGTTGATTCTCATATATGCCCTGATCGGGGATCGAACCCACAATCTTGGTGCATCAGGATGATTCTCTAACCAACTGAGCTACCCAGCCAGAGCAAGGAAAGTTTTAATCACTGGAAAAAGTTGAAGATTTTTAAAAATATATTTTATTGATTATGCCATTATAGTTGTTCTATTTCCCCCTCTTTATTCCCCTCCACCCTGCACACCCCCTCCCCCATCATTCCCCCCTTTAGTTTATGACCACGTGTCTCAAGTTCTTTAGATTCTATATTTCCCCTACTATTCTTGCCCTCCCCCCTATCTATTTTCTACCTACTGTCTATGCTATTTTCTGTACCTTCTCCCCCTTCTTCTCATACTCCCCTGTTACTAACCCTCTATGTGATCTCCATTTCTGTGGTTCTGCTCCTGATCTAACTGTCCTCTTAGATTGCTTTTGTTTTAGGTGTGGTCGTTAATAACTGTGAGTTTGCTGTCCTTTCACTGTTCATCTTTTTTATCTTCTTTTTCTTAGGTAAGTCCCTTTAACATTTTATTATAATAAGGGTTTGGTGATGATGAACTCCTTGAACTTGACCTTATCTGAGAAGCACTTTATCTGCCCTTCCATTCTAAACGAAAGCTTTGCTGGATAGATCAATCTTGGATGTAGGTCTTTGGATTTCATGACTTGGAATACTTCTTTCCAGCCCCTTCTTGCCTATAAGGTCTCTTTTGAGAAATCAGCTGACAGTCTGAAGGGAACTCCTTTGTAGGTGACTGTCCCCTTATCTCTTGTTGCTTCTAGGATTCTCTCCTTCATTTTCATCTTGGCTAATGTAATGATGATGTGCCTTGGTGTGTTCCTTCTTGGGTCCAACTTCTTTGGGACTCTCTGAGCTTCCTGGATTTTCTGGAAGTCTATTTCCTTTGCCAGATTGTATAAGTTCTCCTTAATTATTTGTTCAAATAAATTTTCCACTCATGGCTGTTCTTCTTCCCCTTCTGGTACCCCTATAATTCGGATGTTGGAACATTTAAAGATGTCCTGGAGGTTCCTAAGCCTCTCCTCATTTTTTTGTATTCTTGTCTCTTCATTCTTTTCTGTTTGGACATTTTTTTCTTCCTTCTGGTCCACTCCCTTGATTTGAGTCCCAATTTCCTTTCCATCATTATTGGTTTCCTGTGCATTTCCCTTCATTTCAATTAGTTTAGCCTTCATATGTTCCTCTAATTTGTGACTAAAATCAACCAGTTCTGTGAGCATCCTGATCACCAGTGTTTTGAACTGTGCATCTGAGAGTTTGGCTATTTTCTTATTGAGCCATAATGTTTTGCTCTGTTCTTGCCTGTTAGGTATGAGGAGCGGAGCCTTAGGTGTTGACCAGGGCAGGGCCACCCAGGTTGCTGGGTTGTGACGCTGTATGTGGGGGTGGGGTCAGAGCAGGGAAATAGTAGCCCCCTCTGCTGCTTCCCGCCACTGGGGCATGTGCAGTCTGTCTCAGTCTCACTGCTTGCTCCTTCTACAGTTATTGGCGTGTGAATGTGTGGCCGCGGTCAGCCCTCAGTGGGTCTGCCCGCTTCTACTCCACACCTGGGATCCACCCACTGCCTGCCATCCTGAGTTGCGCACCGGTGGGTCCGGTGGATCTTTCCTGCCCGACCCCACTCTGCTGCTGGCTCTGCCCCTCTTACTGGTTTGGCTGAAGGGTTTGTTGTTGTCAGACTTCCGTATAGTTCAATTTTCTGTGGTTTGGCTGCATTTTTGTTGCTAAAACTTTGTTGTTTTTAAACTTGGTTGTGAGAGAAGGCAGAGTATTTCCACCTACACCTCCATCTTGGAGGAAGTGAAGATGTTTTAGATTTAATTTAATGTTTAGTTGATGACCATAATGCATATATTATAGTCACAGGTGCTGACACCATTAGACTAATTAGTCAAACAGGAGATGTCAAATAGGAGATGTCAAATCTTGATAGAGTGGATGTAAAAAAATTAATAAGTATTTTCACATATCAAATAATAACTGATGCAGTATTTTGCGGTGAAATAAGTGTCAGAGAACTGTCCTTATGCTCTTTTAGAATGTACAACTAGCTCAGTGTCCATGCTGACAGCAGTTACCAGGAACATTGGTTTCTGGTTTCAGAGGGTGGAGTTTGAGGCAGTAAGACCTTTGTTTTTAAAAGACATTGTAAAAAATAAATGTTCCTGCTGTCAGCATATCCATTCCAGTTGTTGGTAGAGAAGTCCTGTTATATTGAGGGCGGTTGTGTGTGTGTGTGTGCACGCGCACGTGTATATTCAAATAGTGGTGCTTGTGTGTTACAGCATGGGCTTTTACGTGAGGTTAGGTTTCAACCTTTGCTTTGCTTCTTACTGAGCATGTTGACCTTGGTCAAGTTAGAGAGTCATTTGAACCTCAGTTTCTTTGTAAAGGGGCAGTGGTGGTGGAGGGTAATATAGGTATGTGGGCTGGTTGTGAGGATTCCATGAAATGGTGAGGCATGTGGCAAGAGCCCCAGAGATGTACCTGCTGCTACTGGGACATAAGCAGGCTCTCCCTGCCGCCTGCCTTTGACCCAACATGCTCTGCGGGCTCCCCCGCTCCCCCCTGCCAGTTACTGCAGTAGCGGGTGCTCAGCGTGCCCAGTGTGTAGCTGTAATGGGAATTGTGAGTTGGTCCTCTTTCATGTACTAAGGTAGGTTTTCAGGGATTCAGTTGAAGTGACTTTTTTATTTTTATTTTTTTAAGGAATAAAGGATGAATGTTGGTTTCCTATAGAAAAACTAAATGTGCTGATTTGGTGGTGGCTGGCTGCCATGTGTGTCTATAAGAGGGTTTTGTGGATTTTTTTTAAAAAGATTATATTTATCTTTAGAGGGGAAGGGAAGGAGAGAGGGAGAGAAATGTAATGTATGGTTGTCTTTCCTGCATTCCCTGCTGGGAACTTTCCTGCAACTCAGGCATGTGCCCTGACTGGGATTTAAACTGCGATCCACTGAGCTACACCAGCCAGGGCATTTTTTTTTTTGTTTTGTTGATGTGTAAAATATAATGGTATTCCTGGAAAGGCCTAGGGTAATATTTTTTTCCACAGAGCTGGAGCGTGGCATGGGTGGAGGATTTGAGAGAGACTTTGCCAGAAAGGAGATGGGAATGTCTCGAAGCTTTGGAGAGCCCCTTGGCAGAGGAATGGGTAAGAAGGCCCTCTGGGCCCTGTGCTAGCAGGGTTCACCCCCTGGGGGTGCAGGTGTACCCTGATGTTGGAGGTTTTTTTTTTTTTTTAAGGCAAAGTCTGCTGGCGTTCCTTAGCCTTTTTTTTAATTGTGTGTTTTATAGACCTCGATAAAAACTTCTGGTCCTTGAATTTTTTTATTGCTATCCATAGTACTATTTTGGTCTTTGCAGGTGGCTTCTTGGTCCACATTGCTACAAGATGTTTGGTGGCTGGGGGAGTTGAAACTGCTGCACTTATGTAATGGTGGCTCTCTAGTTCTGGTGGAGATTGTCAAAGTCCTGCGAATGGGGGTGTGGGTCTCCTTAGTCCAGGGTGCTATTCCAGCCAACACGATGGCATAGTGTGCTTTTGAAAGAGATTGGTAAACCAGAGAAGTGTTCTGATGTTGGAGGGCGTGGAGTATTGGCTGGTTGACATGCAGAGAAACTCTTGTTTTTGTTAGATTGCAAAGCAGTTTTCTTCTTTACACAGGCATCTTCCCCTGTTTTGAGTTGAGGTTTTTCTGAGACTGCTTAATTCTCCTTCATTAGTGTGTTGCAAGGAGATTCCTGGGCTTAGAAGTTTTTTCTGACAAAGGTAATTTAGAACGTGGACTTCCCTTTGCCCTTTTACCCTGTCCTTGCCCTGTCCTCCATTTTCACCTGTTTCTCACCGTGCAGAGCAGATAAGCTGCTGTGTTACAGCCCCAGAGTGCTCAGCCTCTGTCTTTATGAGACACTGTGGGCCAGGTGTGAAAATCTTGAAGCTTTTTCGGTCTAGTTTGTATAAGCTGAGCTGTTTTAGAACATATGGAGGCCATAGAAAGAGTTGTCATTCAGCTCATTGGTGAGACAGGATTTTTTTTTTAAGATTTTATTTATTTTTAGAGAGAGGTGAGGGGAGGGGGAGAGGGAGAGAAACATCAGTGTGTGAGAGAAATATCAATCAACTGACTTACCCTCACCTGGGGACTTGGCCTATAGTCCAGGCATGTGCCCTGACTAGGAATCAAACTGGTGACCTTTTTGTTACTGGCCAGTGCTCAATCCACTGAGCCACACCAGCCAGGGTGAGACGGGATTCTTAATTCATACATTATCTCTAGGACCTCCATCTTCTTTGTGTTCTTCACAAAGATCAGAAACTACTCCCTCAGAGTAAACTGTGTGTGTGTGTGTGTGTGTGTGTGTGTGTGTGTGTGTGTGTTTAGTTTTTATTTACTGATTTTAGGGAGAGACATCGATTTGTTGTTTCACTTACTGATAAAATCACTGGTTGATTCCTGTATATGCTGTGCCTGGGGATTGAACCTGCTACCTTGGCATATCAGGACAATGCTCTAACCAACTGAGCTGCCTAGCCAGGGCAGACACTTGATGGAGACTTCTGTTTCACCTTTTTCTTGACTATAGTTAGGTAACTTGAATGACTTCCTTACATTTTACTAGACTGGTAGTAAAGATTCACACACACACACACACACACACACCCCTGTACTTGCTCCATATGACCTTCATTCTCAGTTATTCAATTATTCCAAAGCTTTAGAATTTGGGAGTGAGTTCATAATTTCCTGTGTGACTAGGTCAGTTAAAAGTTTCTTATTGCCATGGCTAGTTTTGTTTTTGTGTTTGGAATGGTAGAGCATTTGTTTTAAAATTATTCTCATTTGGCTGCAAATACCAGTTTGTGACCAGCTATGGTGAGAACATGACCCTGCTCCCACATGGGGCTTTTTTCTTCTCTAAGCTCTTAATCCTTTGTTGCTCTGTGGTGCCTCTCTGGTGATGCTGTTGGCCCCCTCCTGGTTCCTGCAGTGAGTGGCACAGTGGTCTGGTGAGGCTACTTCAGGTGGCAATAGGAAGCTCATTCTGTCTTGACCTGGATAAAAATGGCATCTGCAAGCCTTGTTCTCTCCTGCTACTTTGGCACCTTCTGTCTGACCAAACCTGTCGTCTGTCTTAAAGCCTCCTAAAATGACCATGGGCAGGAACAAGAATGAATGTTCATTCTGGAATTCCCTGCTGCTACTTGTCATCAGACCCAAGTTAGTAAAGAGGTCTAAAGATTTTACTAAGTAAAATATCTGTCAGGTTTTTAGAGTAGTTACCTAGATTGGTTTTGCAGTTTTTTATTTTATTTTCTGTGTTGTTTATATGACAGTTGAATCATTTTGGTGCTCCTTTCTGTTGGAGGCTCCTCCCTATTTAGTGTCCCTTTTCTCCTGTCAAGGCTGTAGATCTGTACTTGGTGCTGCAGGAAATACCAATAGATATATGGTCCTTCACCTAGAGGGACATGGCGCAGCTGAGGAGACAATGCTCCAAGAGTGACTCAGGTTAGCACTGGAGGTCATTATATTCAAGTGGCCTAGTAAGGGAGCTGGTGGAAGTGTTGATTCCTGAGGCCCTCGGCTGCCATGTAAACAGCACACAGCACACAAAGGCAATGGTTTTCTTGCTGTTCAGATTAGAAAAAGCACTGCCTTTGAAGGATAATAAATACACACTGCACAAAAAAACCCCTGGATCTGAGCAGGAGATGTGGTTTAAGCCAGAGGTTCAGTATGGGTAGAGGGTGTGCTGGCAAATGGTGTTGGTCGGTTGCAAAGGCTTGGAGGTGAGGGTCTGCCTGGGACAGGAAAAATAGATTCAAATTGAGAGTCAGAGCAGGGAGGGCTGTGAATGAATGCCCATGGAAAGAATTTGGCCTTTTCTCTAAATCATTGGTGGAACCATTGTGAAGTTTTTCCGCGGAGTGGTTTGATCTAAGTACTGTTCTAGGGAAGTAATACTAGGCCTGGGCCTGCTGAGCAAGATCATTATTGTACTCAACAGTAGAATAAGCCCTGTATTGTTCTGTAGGCCAGATGAAGGTCTATTATTTCTTGGTGTACTGAATTATTACCTCCTACCTTTAGCAGGTAGTTGCAGTACTAGACACAGCTGCGTGGTAGGGTTTAATCTCTTTGTGATCATGATCATAATATTTGATGTGATCTGTGGGTATTGCCTGTGTTAATGAGCACACTTCCAAGACCAGTTTGAGGGTGGCACAATGCAAGTTTCTTATACATACTGAAAGACCGAGAAGAAACTTTTAAAAGTTACCACTAATTATAGCATTTTACAAACATTAAAAGAGTTTTGGATGAACTGTTGGCAAGCAAGCAGCAGTGTTTTCTGTCTTGGACAGCTGAGTGTATTGGGGTTTTTATTTTCCTGAGGCTTTGTTTGTCTCTTAGTCACCATCACACCCAGCTCCTTGTCAGGGCCAGTGGGCTCAGCTTGCTGAAGCTGTGCACGGCTTGTTAACTAGGTCACATTTCTAGTACTGCATGCTGGTGGTTTGCAGGGTTTGGGGCTATAAGTATAGGTACAGCTTTAGTGTGCTAACAGTGAAATGTTGGTTGGATCTGGGTGGGTGAGTGAGTGCGGGCTTTAAAAAGTCTTTGAGTACTGAGGGTCTGGACCAGCTTTTAGAAAAATTGCCACTAGCCCCATTCAATGCTCTGACTTTCCAAATTCACTTCATGGTGTATACTGGCTCCTAGCTCTGCTGGGCGCATTCCCAGATGCCCCTACCAACTGGGCCTCAGACTCTGGAGCTATGAGGGCTCCACACATCATGACCCATCAAGGATTCTCCAGTTTTCCAGTAAAATGGTTTTGTCTGTGTGTGTATTTCTCAAACCCCCACCCCTTTCCTTTTAAAATTTCTTAGTAGCATTCCTCTGAAGTCTGTAATGAACAAATTTTTATTACCATAGAGAAATTTGGCTAATTATTTTTTCTTCCTGATTTTCTTAGAAATCCTAAGTAATGCACTGAAGAGAGGAGAGATCATTGCAAAGCAGGGAGGAGGTAGGAAACGCTTAGTTTTGCTGTTTCGATTTTTAGAATAGGCTGTTGTTACCAGGGATAGTACAGTGTAGTGGTGAAAAGCATGGGCTCTGAAATAGACTGCCTGGGGTGGGAACCAATTAATGCCTGGCTGTGTGACAGTTGGCAAGTTACCGAACCTCTCTGATTTTTATACTGTAAAATGTGGATATAATAGTACTTACTGCCTCATAGGGTTGTTGTGAAGAGTAAATGAGTTGATACATATAAAAAATGTATTTACCTAAGTGCTCTGACCTCTATTAGCCATTGTTGTTATTACAATGTTTTCACATAATTTTGGGGTTTTGATTTCAATACTGTAAAATTGTAAATGCCTAAAAGTAAATGTTTTGCCTGGTTATAAAAATACGCCACCTGATACCAAAATTGTTTACCAAAATATACACATGTACTAAAAAAAAAAAAAAAAAACTCAGAAAATTATGAAGAAAGTAGATACCTGAAATCTCACTACCCAGCGATGAATGCCTAAACATTTTGGAATATATCTTTCCATTAATACACTTTTTAAAGTGGGTACTTAAAGCAAAATTTACTTTTTTCAGCCTGATTTATCCTCATGGCTCTGAGCATCTTGGCATTTCCTTGGTGGCTCAGCTAGCTGGCACCTTCTGTGGTGGGCTGATGTTTCCATGTGGGTACCATTTCTTCCTAGTTTCTCTGCTGCTGTTGGTGTCTTGAGGGGGAGGGGGTCAGCCTCATTTCTTATGCTCTTGGGCATGCGACCTCCCTACTCTAAGTTTTTTGCCTTTTTTAGTTTCTGAGAAGTCTCTGCTCTGAAAGTCTAATATTCTTAAAATTGTGCGTATATTTTGCCACTTGGTGTTCTGTTACTCACCTAAGGTAAAAGGTATGGAGAAGGGGAAGGATTTATGCCAGGTCACAATATTGGTCAGTTAGAGAATCAGTTACAGAAACTGCTGAGTTTCCTCTTCTTAATTTGCATCTTGGATTGGGCTCGGCTCAGCAGCCCATTTTCAGAGGCTGGTGGCAGCAGCGGTGGTGGTGATGAAGGTGAAGCTTGAGTGAGAGGGCCTCACAGGCTCTGCATGTGGAAAAGCAGTGGCTGGTAGCCCTAGTGGTGGAGCCCAGATCCTCTTTATCCAGAGTTGAAAGTGTCACAGAGTCACTGTGCACTGCTCATTTGCCAGCATGTGTCCAGCTGAACTGTGGCTATGAGGGACGGAGCCTCTTTCCAGAGTCCACACTGTGGTACCATTGGCTGCTTTTCCTCCAGAGCCAGCAAAGTTACACACAGGTCAGTTGGTGGTTTCCCTCACACAAGGTTCACTGCAAGGGGCTGACTGTGTTCATTTATATACAGAGGATCTATGTTAGCGATTATTTTCTTACCTCCTCTTGCTTACATGGCTGTATAATAGCTTCTTTATGCCTTGGAGATGCTAAGGAAATGCAGCCAGATTGGCCACCAGCAGGGCACCTTAGAGGGACAAGTTAGAAGAGGATAAAGGTGGTGAGTGATTTTGAATTGTCACCATGTAAAATCCATGACACTGGGTGACCATCTGAGAGTGGCATTTCTGAGCCTTCCCCCTGCGGTGACTTCCTGGTGTCTGGTGGTAGGGAAACTGCAGCATTCTCAGGAATTGAGAGCTGTGTCTCGCAAAGTTTGTTACAAGTACTAGCACTTCCAAATTAACCTGGACAACATTGGCTACACAATTTCTCCAGGGTGGGTTTTTTCCTTTTTAAATTTTATTATGGAAATTTCATCTACGGCACAGAAGTAGGAAAAATTATGTACTTATTTATTGCCCAGCTCTAAAAGTTGTCAACATGTGAGGGGTGTCTAAATGATAAATTATTGTGAAACTTAGCTTCTGAATTGTGGGTGGGCTTGTGAAGTGCTCAGGCCTTTGCAACCAGGTCACCATCCTGACACAAGTCTCTTACATCTGTCTGTTTTGTGTCCCTCTTTCAGGTGGAGGTGGAGGCAGTGTCCCTGGGATCGAGAGGATGGGTCCTGGCATTGACCGCATTGGGGGTGCCGGCATGGAGCGCATGGGCGCAGGCCTGGGCCATGGCATGGATCGTGTGGGCTCTGAAATTGAGCGCATGGGCCTGGTCATGGACCGCATGGGCTCTGTGGAGCGCATGGGCTCCGGCATCGAGCGCATGGGCCCACTGGGCCTCGACCACATGGCCTCCAGCATTGAGCGCATGGGCCAGACCATGGAGCGCATCGGGTCTGGCGTGGAGCGCATGGGTGCCGGCATGGGCTTTGGCCTCGAGCGCATGGCCGCACCCATCGACCGTGTGGGCCAGACCATTGAGCGCATGGGCTCTGGTGTGGAGCGAATGGGCCCTGCCATTGAGCGCATGGGCCTGAGCATGGAGCGCATGGTGCCCGCAGGCATGGGGGCTGGCCTGGAGCGCATGGGCCCTGTGATGGATCGCATGGCCACTGGCCTGGAGCGCATGGGCGCCAACAACCTGGAGCGCATGGGCCTGGAAAGAATGGGCGCCAACAGTCTCGAGCGCATGGGCCTGGAGCGCATGGGCGCCAACAGCCTGGAGCGCATGGGTCCTGCCATGGGCCCTGCCCTGGGCGCTGGCATTGAGCGCATGGGCCTGGCCATGGGTGGCGGCGGCAGTGCCAGCTTTGACCGTGCCATCGAGATGGAACGTGGCAACTTTGGAGGAAGCTTCGCAGGTTCCTTTGGTGGAGCTGGAGGCCATGCTCCAGGGGTGGCCAGGAAGGCCTGCCAGATATTTGTGAGAAATGTAAGTGGATCTTCAGGAACCTCTCGGTGGCATGCACAACGGGAGAGGGGGGAGATATGAAGTCAGCAGGACTTGAATGGTGGCAGGTCAGAGTTGGAGGTCATGTCCTTAGAAAAGGAGCCAAGTAGCATGCAGGGCTACCTTGTAATTCTCCCCAAACTTCAGTTCTGGTAGCATATGGGAATGTGAGAGCCAACACTACTGTACAGTAAGAATAGTAGGTTCTGTAAACCCACTGGGCTTCTCTGACTGCTAGATGGAACAGTGAACTAAAAAACTCTATAGTGCCCTGGTTGGTGTGGCTTGGTGGATTGAGCACAGGCCTGTGAAACAACGGGTCACTGGTTCAATTCCCGGTCAGGGCATGTGCCTGGATTGCAGGCCAGGTCCCCAGTGGGGAACACACGGGAGGCAGCTACACATTGATGTTTCTCTCCCATGCGTTCTCCTTTCTTTTCCCTCTCTCTAAAAATAAATAAATAAAAAATATTAAGAAAAGAACTTCATAGTTTCTCTTTTTTTAATTTATTGATTTTAGAGAGGAAGGGGGGTCATAGAACATCAGTTTGTTCCACTGGTTTATACATTCATTGGTTGATTCTTGTATGTGCTTGAACCCACAACCTTGTTGTATTGGGACAGTGCTCTAACTAAAGAGCCACCCAGCCAGGGTTGAGAACTCTAGTTTCTTTTCTTTTTATGATTTTTTAAATTTTTTATTTTTATAGAGAGGGGAAGGGAGGGAGAAAGGGAGAGAGACATCAGTGTGTCAGAGATATATTGATTGGGTATCTCTCTTGTACACTGCAAACTGGGGACCTGGCCTGCAACCCAGGCATATCCCCCAACCAGGAATCAAACCAGCGATCCTTGGGTTTGCAGGCCGGCACTCAGTCCATTGAGCCACACTAGCCAGGGTGAGACCTCTAGTTTCTTGATTGATCCCTTGCCTTGAAGAGCCACTAAACCTTAGCATGGCAATACAGAGGAAAAAATTATTTGTGCCAAATTGACTGCCCTTAGCTACTATTCTGTGGTTCTGTGGCCTGAAGCACAGGCAGCTATACATTCTGCTCTCTTGATGCTCCAATGGACAGAAAAGGCTACAAGGGAGTGAATTTGGTATGCTGGTTTAGAATCCCATTTCAGACCAACTTGTTTTGTTCTGTTGATATCTCAGTTTGAAAGTCAGCTGGTTTCTGTGTCACAGAAATTCCTTTTAAGTCATCTTTAGATTAAATGATGATGTTTATGCATTAGGATTTGGTCGAATCACTCATCGGTCTCTTTTTTTCCCCTTAGCTCCCATTTGATTTTACTTGGAAGATGCTAAAGGACAAATTCAATGAATGTGGTAAGTGTTCGAGAAAGGCTTTCTAGGTGCTTCCATATATTGTGGCTTCAGAAATCTTAGCTTGTTGATAATGCATTTGAGTCATGCAGTGAACCTTCCATCCTACTCTTAGCCACTTTCTATTACTCTAGAGGGCTGGTATAAGTTGCCATTTTTCTGCCTATGCAAGTATTCAAGCAGGTTATTGAGTTTCCTGTTATGTGTCAGATTTTTTTTAAATGTTTTTTATTTTTATTTATTTTTAGAAAGAGGAGAAGGGAGGGGGAGAGAGAAGGAGAGAAACATCAATGTGTGGTTGCCTCTTGTGTGCCCCCTACTGGAGACCTGGCTTGCAACCCAGACATGTGCCCTGACTGGGAATTGAACCAGCAACCCTTTGTTTTGTAGGCTGGCACCCAATCCATTGAGCCACACCAGACAGGGATGTGTCAGAAAAGAGGTAGAGTTTCCCCATTTTACAGATGAGTCAGGCAAAGTCACATTCCCAAGGTCACATGGCTTCTAAGTAACAAACCTAAAGAAAATCAATATATCTGAGACAATGAAACAAGGTTACTTTCCACCACAGTACCTACTTGGGTTGTTCCCCAAAGAGCACTTGCCCAGCAGGTCCCATGGTCTGGCTTTGCAGGCTCTTAGTACGCAGTAGCTTGTGTGTGTATGAGACTGTGGGTCTATGATGGTGGTTTTCTTTCTTTTTTTTTTTTTTTCTATGATGGTGGTTTTCTAGCACATCAGGCAACCGTTATAGAAGGCTCATTTTGTGGCCGAAAGGAAGTTGTCTGTGGGTGAACCCCCAACCCTCACCCCCCACTACTTCTCTTCTTTTAACCATGTCAAGTGGAGGCCAAGCCCTAAGCTGGAGTCCAGGTGGCTTGCTGGTTCGAAGCTTCCATGGTATTTTCATTTCCTATTTCAGTAGTGGCTCAGATTTCACCACGGTTGCTGCTTGTCCTGGTTCTTCTCTCAGGTCAGCTATTGAGACATAGCCTGCTTTTTTTACATCTCTCCCCACTCCTTAGTTTCCACATTGTAGTAGGTACTCTGAAAAGTCAGATTGGATCATGCAACTCCCCCTGGCCTCAGATACCTGGAAGTGACTCTTGGACAAGAGAAAAGTCCACACTCATAGGCCCTTTTACAACTTGGTCCCTCGGTCTGCATTCATCTTTCTCCTTTCTCTGAACCCCGAGTTGCAAGTGCCGTTCTCCAGAAGTGTTCGTTCTGTTGAGAACTGTTATCAGCAAGTCTTCCTCTTGAATTTAACTCTTAATTTTAGAACTTTTCCCTGAGAAGCCCTCCTGGATGTTGATCTAGGATGCTCTACATTTGTAGTCCCCTAGCACTGGCTACACTGTCATGTCCTTGCAGTCAGTGAAGTAAAGCCTTGTGTTTCTGTGGCTCTTCTGTGTACTTGTTTCCACAGTGCTTGACACATACCTGGATACTTAATCAGTACTTGAATACCTGAAACTGCTTTCTAATTATTACACACCTTATATTTGGACAGTGCAGAAGTGTCCATCATATTGGTGATGGCCTTGTAAATGTGTTGGTGTGGTATATTGAAAATGAAGCCTGTGTAAAAATTTGCTTATAAAGTTGAATTCACGCAACCCTCCCCCTTTTGTTGGTTAGTTCTTCAGAGTGTAAAAGTCCTGTGATGGTAGCTGTCAGGAATGCTTATCACGGGGCTTGTCAGATTGTTGGCCTATTGGTAGAAGAATGGCAATTGGGTTGAGAGCTATTGTAGCTAGGTCCTAGCCACTGTGTTCTTGGGCGTTCATGCACCAGGCACTGGGGCCACTCCCTGTTAACTCAGCCAAAAATCACAGGTGATTTGGGCTGAGTGGAGCCCAGACCGCTGAGCTCTGGTTTGCCTGATGAGTTGTGGTCTCTTCTTTCCTCCCTGTGCCCAGGCCACGTGCTGTATGCTGACATCAAGATGGAGAATGGGAAGTCCAAGGGGTGCGGTGTGGTTAAGTTTGAGTCGCCAGAGGTGGCTGAGAGAGCCTGCCGGATGATGAATGGGATGAAGCTGAGTGGCCGAGAGATTGATGTTCGAATTGATAGAAATGCTTAAGTGGTTGCCTTTTTTAAACATCAATACCAGACCTCTGAATTTGTATTTTTTTCTTGTTAACCATTTTAATTTGTTGGCTGGATGTATAAAGATGTTTAAAAAATTCAGTTGCTTTTTGGGGTAATTTGAATTACTTTTTTAATGACTGGGGTTCCATTTGACTGTTTGCATTGAGATTGCAATGTGCGCAATTTTTTTTGTAGTTGTGGCATCTTGTTGACATCAAATATGACTTTGATAATAAATACCAGTTCCTGAAAGCTGCTTGCATTTTTGTGTGTGTTGTGGGGCCACCACCCAAGGGTTGGGGGTAAGGAACCATTCATACCCTTTCTGCCCTCAGAGCTGTGAACACCAGGAGCCTTATCCCCATTCTTCCTTGGCTTTGTGCCCTGCCAGGTTAGGAACTAAGTCAGTGGAATATGACTCCTGAATGAATTTGAATCCCTTGTGCTGGTAATGGAGCACTTGACTGTTAGCTGTCCTGAAAGCCCATCCAGTTTCCCTGAGGGGCACAGACACTGCATCACGTCCATTTCCAGGTTGGCTTCTGTCTGTCTGCCTTGGCTGCTGTACCAAAGGACCGTAAGCTGGGTGGTTTATAAACAAGAGATTGATTTCTCACAGTCTGGAACCTGAAAAGTCCAAGGTCAAAAGGGGCTGCTTTTATAAGGGCTTTAGTAGACCTAATTGCCTGTCATATTGGGAAGTGGGGTGGGGGGCACAAATAGTTCATAGTAGCTTTTCTTTGGTAAAACCATGTAAGGTGTGAGTTTCTGAGCATGTTTAGTCCTACAGAGGTTCAGGCTGAACTTAATACCTGGGCTCTGTCTGAACTGGGTTCCCCACCACTGCTAAAATATGACCTCATACATAGGTCCACTTGAGCTAGGCAGTTGTTTGCAGCTGGGCACTGTGTTCATGTGTCCCTCCACCGTGGCTGGCTGCTGATGGAGATCTCATCACACAGACAATCAAACCTTCAAGTCTAGCAAGGTACTAGTTTCCTTGCTGCCTTCTCCCTGCCACACTTTTCTCCTTCCCAGCCTTTATCCCTGAGGGGTGAGAACATGAAGGATGAGGTCAACCCCAAAGACCCCCACATATTTGATCATGGCTCTACTGTGTGCCAGTTGGAAGGGAAAGAAAAGCAGCAGTGATCATTTTAAAGGGGTTCTTAGGTTCATGTACATGGTCAGGTGTGAGCCTTGGCATTTCTTTTTATTGATTGGCAAGAGAGGAACATCAATTTTGTTGTCTCACTTAGTTAAGCATTCATTGGTTGCTGCTGCTTGTATGTGCCCTGACGGGGGGGGGGGGGGCACTGAACCAGACTTGGTGTACCAAGACAATGCTCAAACCAACTGAGCTACCCGGCCAGAGCAGCCTTGGCAGTTCTTTGGCAGCAGTCTTGGTAGCTGGGATCCAGGATTTGTGGGTTAGTGGGTGATTGGGCTGGCGAGTTGTCCTGGGTCCACACACCTGCTGGTCTTACTATCCTCGAGGGTATGGTTGGCCTTCTAGAGGGTCTGCAGAGAAGGATAGGCAAATTAGAGTGATTCCTCATAAGCAGATAGCAAGCAGCCCCTCCCTGCAAGTAGGGTTTTCTCCATCCTTCCCAGAATATCTACATACCCAGGAAGGCAACATCGTCATACACCTCTGTTTCCCTAGTGGAGAGCACAGTTGGGTCAGCAAAGATCACCCCTGGATCCAATAACCCTCCCTACCCTCTCACCCCCAGATTACAGCAGCACTCACAGGGGCAGCAGTGCTATTCTGGGCACGTAGCCATCTGCAAAAAGAGTGGGCATGGGTGAATTCTTGGCTGAGCAGTGCAGGGCCCGTCTCCTCAGGGCAGCCAGCCCAGCTCACTCACACTTGCCCTTGGTGTCCCGGCAGAGCATCTCGTCCTTGTTGGTGAACTCAATCACCTCCAGGATCTCCCCACGCCGGATCCCCAGGTGCTTGCCACCCCCACGGCGTGTCTTGGCATTGGGGTCGATCATCATCCTCGTCTGAATTACGATCTCCCCCTCAAACTGGGGAGAGGCATGTTAGAGCTATGGCTATGCTGGCCCCCCACCCCAGGGGCCTTGGTCAAGGGGACTGAGCCCAGCCCCTGCCCCCTCTTCCCAGGGCTTCTTGCATAGCTTGGTGTCCACACCTTGAACTTTTTCCGGAACTCCCTCTCAGCTTTCTCTGCCTTCCGGATCTGCTTCAGGGCCTTCGAGTCCCCAGGCAGCAACTGCTGTGGCTGGAGGGCCTTCTCCTTCCTGAGTCCCCCAAGGAATTGGGTGCTTATGAGCAAGATCTACTCCTCAGGGGGTCCCCTTCCACCACTGCCCCAGAGCTCATCTCCTCCCTGCTTTGCCTTGAGGTACCTGAGTTCAGGGTCTTGTGGTGGCCTCCTGGGGGGTTGCTGGATGGGTGGCACTTCACCTGGGGGCAGTCAGAGCACCGATTAGGGCAGGAGCGATCAGTTTGCTCTTGACCCTGGTGGCTTGAGCTTAAGTGAGCCTTCTGTCAGTTCTCTGGACATCCCCTCATTCTGGCCACGCTCCCACTCCCCACCCCACCCCACCCCTGCCCTACCCACCTGTCCATCCTCTCTCTCCCCAGGTCTTTGTCCTGGGTTGTGAATTCTAATGGATGCCTTCCATTTTCTTAACTCCTGCCACAGGCTAGGCGTGGCAAAACACTTCACTTTCATTTATTTCAACCCTCACAACAACCTTATTCAAGACAGTAGGCAATATTGTCTATCTTGACTTGCTGATGAGGAAGTAAAGGCTCTGACAGGTAAAGTAACCTGCCCAAGGTCACCCAGGTGGTAAGTAGTAGAGAAGCAGGATTTATTTGAATGCCTTAGAGGCCATTACTTGTCTGGTGCTTAGGGCAGGTTGGGTTGTGGGAATTGTAATGAGATTTGGGTCAAAAATTAAGCAAAAGCATTTTCTGGAGGCAAATGAAGTCCACCTCTGAGAAGCAGCTGATGGGGTGGGGTTCTTGAACTGGCCTGGCTGATGATAAGACTGGAATGGGAGGTGTTTCCCAAGGTGAGGCAGATTTCTTGGCAAGTGACCAGCCTTCCAGGTAGGAGGCGTTGGTCATGGGGCCAACTTATAGTGAAAGCCTCACGAACAGGTGAGTAAAGCCCGCAGCTTTTCACTGTTGTCCCTGAATGACTGCAAGCATCTTGACATTTCAGATCAGCAGTCCCTTCCATTGAGTAGCCCACTGAGGAGTATTTTCCTGGTGCTCTCATCCCTTTAGACACTGAGATTGCCTGCAGCCTCAGCCTGATGCTCAAATGATGGCGCCAGTCATGGTCCCACCCAGAATACTCCCTCCAGCTGCTGCTACGTCTTCTAAAGGCTGCCCAGACCAGGGATGGTTACCCATCTAGAAGCAGTCTTCATGGCAGGACCCAGGGTCCCTACAAACCCACTGCAGCACAGCACACCACTGGGCACTGTGGTATGGTTGGGCTTGGTGCACTTGTGGCCCAAGCTTCCTGGCAATGTGACCTGGAGCAGGCCCCTTGGGGAAGGCAGGCTCCTGTAGGTGGCCTGCTTAGATCCTGGGAAAGAGCCGGGCCTGGTTCCCAGCTGTGCGGGGAACCTTGGGAGTGGAGTGGCTGCTTCTAGGAGTGAGGCGGAGAGTGGGAGGGTAGACTTGAAAAGAACATACTGACAGTATGCTCCACACTGCCTCAAGAAGGGAAACATCAGGGAATTGCAGTGTTTGATTAGAATCTTGAGGAACAATTCAATGTAGGAACAGTGAGCAGAGGTTGGGATGTGCCTGGTCTGGTTGAGGTTGGGGAACAGGGAAGTGTGGGCCATGCTAGCAAGGCTGCTGGAAGTTTGAGTGTTCCCATCCCCCACAGTGGTCCCCCAGGGCAGAGCCACAGAGCTCCGCTGGAGCGGAAGCCAGGCCCTGTCAGGAAGCTCTGTGCTAACTAATGGAAGTCTGTTGCAAGCATCCTCTGGGGAAAGCCTAGGAGAAGCAGCCACAGAGGCAGCAGAGCCGGGTCGGGGCTGCTAATGGGAAGAAAGAGGTAGTACCCTAAAGACACCCCCGAGGGAGGGTTCTCCCACACGAGGCCTTCCAAAGCCATGGAAGCAGGGGTCTGGGCTCCTGCGTACTGGCAGTGTGAGCTGGGGCAGGTAGCTTCTCTGGTCCTCAAACTTCCACATCTTTAAAGGTAGGCACTGGGCATGGGGTTTTGCAGATTCGGTGACATGTAAAGTGCTGGTGTGGAAGGCATTTTTGTTTTCACTCAACTTTGGCAAAGGCATTAAACCTGGTGCTGGGCTGGAGGCGTGGGCCTGATAGACCAGTATCCTGCTCTCCAGGAGCAGAGACTTGGAAGAAAGGAGAAAGAAGGGTCCTTTGGAACCCCCGAGCACAGAGAAAGAAAGAGAGAGGTGAGAGGGCCACACCCTATGTCCAGCCCACATCTTTTCAGTTCCAGGCCCAAGTCCATAGGCTCCTCCAACACAAAGGTCTATGAGAGAACTTGGCACCTCCCTTGTCCTGAACTCAGGGATGGCTTCACTTTGTACCCAGGTACAAGGCTCCAAACTTGGGCATCATCCATGCCAAGCTCACTTGCTCCTTCTCAACCCTGCATAATACGCTGCCAAGTCTTCTTGCCACTCTTTACCTAACTTCCATCATCATCAGGTAAAAACACCTCTGGACCACACCTCTGCCCTGGCTACATCGTGCTCGCTGGCTCTTGGCCTCTGTGCTGCCAGTCACCGCACTGTCCCGCCCACCAGGAACTGGTGTGACCCTACTGAAAGGCCCGTTCTTCCTTGCTTCTCATACTGTCAGGGAGCAGGATTGGCGATTGGCCTTACACCAGCAGTATGGCAGAAACGGCCCTCGCAACAAATGTATCCCAGGCACCCAGCCAGCTGGGTCCACCCCGACCACCAACAAACCTTTGCCCTTGGGGCTGGGACTGGAGTCTTTTGCCTCCACATCATCATACAGCTCGTAGATCTCTGGGTCCCTGCAGGGATATCTGAGATGAGGGCCTTGTTCAGCCCAGGACCCGTGCCTGTGTGCCCTCACTCCCCACACTTACTTGTGGCTATCCGTAGGCTTTGGGGCCCAGAAGTGGATTCCAGCAGAAGAGTGGGCCCTTCTCAGAGCTGTGGAAAGACAAGAGCAGGAGGGTTGCTGGCATAGCCAGGGAGCCTCTGCCCCTCCTTTTGGCCTGGGGCACCCTGACCCACCTGTGGCT